CTATCAAATCCTATATCTTTAAATTGATAAGAGAATAAAATACATACGAACCGACGTTTTTACTTAAAAGAACAAATGCAATTGGTTATTTGTAGTTTCGTGTACATATTGGATTCTGAGTTGCATTACAGCTTTTAGGATATATTTTTTCCCTCATATTCAACTAAAGTATATACAAGTAGTATTTCGGGTAATATCAGTTGCCATTTAAGACGTGTTATATTTTTATTCCCTGTAGCCGAAGGGTTAAAGGGTAAACGAGAAAGTCAAAATATATGAGACAGGCAGAAGGATGCGTGGCAGAACCCATGTTTAAGGATATATACGTATTATCAGCGATAAAGACAAGTCCACTTGTCCGTCCGTATGAACAAGATATGTAAAGGCAGTATGGATTTGATAATTATATCTTGAATGTCTTGTAAAACGAGTTTTGACACATACTATATACATATGTAGTATGTACATATGTAGATACATACATGAACGGAAACACTGATCAGAGGTCTTTGAACGCAACAGACTGGCATGTTGTTTTTTTTTTGCCGTGAAAATTATACAAAAGCCTTAAATGCATTCGCATTAATTGTAAACATAAATTTTTGTATAAAAAAACAAAGCCCACACACAACAACACTGTTCAAGGTGTGGTCAATGGCCCAACCGAGCGACTTTCTGCTCTGCCCCAACCTAACCCCTTTCTCAAACCCGTCCCATGAATAATTCATTCAAGAAAAGCAATTTTCCTTGTCGGCCGATTGATGAATATGCAAGAGGAGCGGCGCCCCACATGCCTCAGGCCAGCATATACTTGTAGTATGCTTGTATGCGTGTTTGGCTATACTATGTGTATGTGTGCTTGATAAGCTTTGCCAAAATGTAAGCCAAGTAAACTGTCTCTGAATACGCCGGGTCGACGCTCATTCGTTTTTCGTTGTTTTCTTCTTTTCTTTTTGTTGCCGACTTTGGTACACAGGTCTTGATTTGGCGGTTCGTTGGTTTTCTTGACTGGTTCGTTGGTTTGGTCGCTTGGCTGACTGAATGGCTGTCTGTCTGTCGGCCTGTCTGCCTGCTTGGTTTCGTTGGTTGTCTTTTTGGTGTGCTTGCAGCACGTTTTGCCGGCTGCAGAAAGTAGCAGCAACAGCAGCAATAACAACAACAAGGCACTACAAAACTGTGTCGCGTTGCAGTGCCTGTTTCTGTTTGCCCAGCATTTGCAAAGTCTTTAAAATCCGGGTTTGTAAGAAAAGTGCATTGTAAGCTTCAAATGCATGTGTAAAAATGCACATACATTCATGTGCATTTGCGAGTATGTGTGTGTGTGTTTACAGCTCTTCACTTTACTGAACAGTATTTGCTTCGCTTTGATTTTTTTTTGGGTCACCACTGATGACGATGCTGCGAACCGATCATTGTTGTTATTGCATTTTGTGTTGTAAAATGTGCAATAGTTGATAAACACAGAAGTAGCAGCGGCAGCAACAACAATAAGAAGGCGTAAAAACTATTCCATTTCGCGCGTTTGTTTGTTGTTTTTCTGCCGACTATTACAGCGCGTTATTAGCAGGCGCGCAGAATAAGAAAGAGGCAGTTGCCAGTATCACTCGCCCGCTTTTTACAATGAAACACAAAAGTGCAACAACAATAACAATAATGCCAACAAGATGTTCAATACATGCAAGCAACGACAACAGCACCAGCGCCAACAACAAAATGTTGCTGTATGTGTGTATGCATGTATGTATGTCTGTATATGTTTGTCAGCTCAGCTTGTAACAGCGTCAGCGACGTCTCCTCCAACTTGGAGCACAGCTGCAATTGCATGCTCTCACATACACACACACACACACACAAAGTTTGATAAAAACGCCAAGACTTGGGAGCGCACTCAATGACCGCTTACTCTCTTTTAGCAACAACACTTGTGTAAATGTTTTGTAAAATATAGCAACGAGAGAATCAAAGAGGGAGAGCAGTAGGTACAGTTACATTTATTTGTTTATTTGTGTGCATTGTGTCGTGTAACTCAGCGAGATAGCGAGACAACGTGACGTAGCAACGAAATGACGTTTTCCCCCAAAAAAAAACAAGTGTTTAAAATCTTAAAATTTGTTGATTTTCAAACATATATTTATGTATGTAGCTACATACTAGTACAACTACATACAACTTTCAAAACTCACGATGTATGATTAAACCCAGAGAAAATGTATACAAATTATGCTACCACTCATCGTTATGTAAATTGTTAAAACTGTGTAAACATTTTATTTTAAACCGATGGCGTCTTCAGAAAAATACCTACATTTTACGTACATACATACATATGTATGTATGTGTGTATGCACTTTAATACTAGTGCTGTCCATTACTTTCTTTTAATTTCTGTTGCTACAATCAGACCCTCCATTTCGCAGGTATACTCTCTTCTCTTTTTAATTTTTGTTAAAGTGCTTTATGGAATGGGCTTGCCGTCAGCTTAGCCACTCGACGACCTTCACTGCAGTCTTTCACAACAAGAATGAGCAGCATATAGCCAAGAAATGAAAACCTCCACCTTGTAATTGCGTTTTAGCTGTTTTGCTAGTTTGCTTCGGTCCACATATGATCATACAATCCCACCAAGGGTATACCCTATAGTCAAACGGTGTCATTAAATTATTTTAGCTTCTTGATAGTTGTTTTAAATATACATACACACATTTAAAATCTATAATGATATCTTAGAAAAAAGTTTTTGAAAAACGTTGCATTCTGTTATTTTTAAATTGTTTAAATTTCAAGGTCATGTGATTTTTATGCAAGACTAGAGTACTGAGCAAATAATTGTTAAAGAGTATCCCATAGTGAGGCTAGCGACTATACTATTAATAGTTTATGTATATAATATAAAGTTGGTACGTTTGTTTTGCTATGGTATTCGCATATTCGTTGTTTTGTCTTGGTTTCATTTGTGAATTTGTATGAACACAAGTATGTACATATAGCATGTTCTTCTGTTGATTATAACTATGAACATATATTTTTAATGTTTTGTTTTTCTTTTTGTTTTTTCGCAAAAAAAAACTTGTTTCTACATTTATTTGTGGAAATGTGTGTGTTTACACAGACGTATATACTGCATATATGTATATAGTTATATGTATGTATATTTTGTTGGTTATCTAGTCTTGTTTATTTCTGAGTATGTATGTATGTTTATTGCTGTCTGGGACAGCTGGTCCGCGCAATGGCAAAACCACCTTCCACCCCCCACGTTTCTAAGCGATTTTGGCCAATTGCAGTTATTTTTAGCGGCGCTACAACCTTTAAATTTGCCCCAGACTATCATTAGTGTACATGAGTGAATGAACATACATACATATGTATATACATATGCATGGATAGATGTACATACACTCGTAAGTAAGATAAATACAGTGTACATTTGTTAAAAAAGAAATACTAAAGGTGCATTTGAAAAACCTAATAAAATGTCTAAATACATGTTTGCAACAATATCTGTACACCTGGGGGAACAGTCAAATTTAATAAAAAATATTTAAATATTTCACACATATTTTACATTCGCTATCAATGTACCATTGTTGTATTTTTATATATTTATTAGATTAAATCAATACAATCAATAGCCTTATAGTTTTCTTTGTAAATTATTTATTGCAAAAGTGTTCTTCCAGTCATCCAAGTTATAAGTATGTATATATAAGTATATAATGTTAAGTTTGTATGAATTCATTCTCATATGAACCATGCATTATATACATATGTATGTATGTACTATTTAGGTATAACAACGTGCTAATTTGTAATCCAATCATTACATTTTGTGCCTGTGTTGATTTACTTTTGAAGCCATAAATATTACATTTCTATTAGCGAGTTTTATCCACGTAATATCGATTGCTAGTTCTATCGTCCGGGACTATCCGGTCTCTTATCACGCTCCTAGAAAGGCGTCGGCTATTTTTGCGGACGCACCCTGGAGTGGAACTGCATTCCAAGACATTGTGTGCCAAACAGCCACCAGGTTTCATTGAACTTTCAAAGCAAATAGAATAGCAACAACAGATACTCGTACAACAACATGCTGAGTAGTAAACCAGTTGCTTGCCGCCGCACTACAAGCGTCGGCATTCATTCTAATCTCTGACAGCATGGCCATGGGGCTGCTATTTGTCCGAGAGTCGGCGACGGTGGCTGTGTTGATGATTTTGATTTATGCAAGCAATTGACTTTGAATGTCGCACGACGGCGCAAGACCAACATACGACTACATACATACTTGTATATATTATACTCGTGCATAGGAGAGTGTATTGCTCATCTTTTCCTGTTAAATCTAGTCGACGAACATACATACACATACATATGTATATAGATTACTTAACATACATATGTATATATCATTGATTCCGAGCCCAGGCGAAGCAACTGGGCATTACCCCTGAAGGTCACAGTTCTCTTGGATCAGGAAAGCGCTCAATTGAAATATGTAGACATACATTCATATGCATCATAAGATATGCATACATCTTAAAAAATACATATATGATTATATGTATAATATAATCTCATATAATCATATGAGCTACATCACGGTAGGCGCAAAGGTCACCGGAGATCCGCTTATTTATTTATTTATTTATGTCAACAAACATTGACTGTCAACATAGGAGGAAAATACATCAAAATTATAAAAAGCATCTACGATTTCGGAAGTTTTGGGCTAGGGTTTTATGGTGCCCATAACAGGCACTAAGGACGATAAACGAAACTTTCCGAACCGTTAAATATAACTTTTAACGATATTTTGCATTTTCAAAAACAACTCTACATCTTGAAGTTCATAGTCATGACTTGCTTAAGCCAATCAAGCATTTCTTTTGGCAACCAAGATAAACCCATACCATAACGAGTAAATCTTCCGCTTAGTAATTATAATATAATATTTACAAAATAGATTTAAAAATCATTTCTTCTCTTATCTCAATTTACAGGAGTATGCCATCTCCAAAAAATGCGAATTTCTGTTCAAACTCGATTACAGCCTCATCGAATTGGATAACGCAAATGGATTGCTAAGTCCCCGCTACCCTGGACGCATACTCATACCCGAATACGAACATGGACACATGGCCAAGACCCTCATACCAAACAATGGATTCTGTATGGGTGGCTTCATAACCAACCCATCAGGAACAACCGCAAATGCACCGCCACTAAACAGCAACGCCGGACCAAACTACACCAACGGCAGTAATGGAGCACCCTTAGACTCGGGAGGAGGCAGCAACGATGGAGGCGGTGTTGGAGGCGGTATCCAGGCCTTTGTTACATTTGCCAATCCGTTGCATAATGGTGGACAGAACACGCCCAATATAATGAACACAACCACTGTGTACCCACAGCAGCAGCAACAACAACAACAACAGCAACCTCAGCAACAACAGAACACCATCTACGAGGATCAGTATGATGTACAGCGAATAAAGGAACTAATCACTATGGCCAAGTATGCGCGATGTCGACAACGCTTCGCAGTTCCCGTAATCATGTATCGCGGCAAGTACATTTGTCGATCGGCTACGCTGTCCGTAATGCCGGAAACGTACGGCCGCAAGGTTGTCGACTACGCCTACGATTGTCTGAGTGGCACCAACTATGCGGCGCCAAATGATGCTGAAAACGATGCGGACTCCACCGATGAATCACTAATCAATCAAATCAACGAGCAGTCCCAATTCTCCTACGATGAGGTCATCAAGAGCGACATACAATTACTGCATACGCTGAACGTGTCCACAATAGTTGACTTGATGGTCGAGAATCGCAAAATCAAATATTTTATGGCGTAAGTGCACGTACAAGTTGCCTTTCTACTCAGCTTTTTGTATAGCATACATATTAATATTTAAATATTCATAATGTCCTCAATATTTCACTAATGGGTGATAGGTCAATTGTATAAAAAGTTATATTCTAATCACAAAAACACGACCTCGATCAAAAGTTATGGTAATGAAACTGTTATATAATTTATTTTTTTATTAGTTTAATTTAATTCATTTACTTGAAAAATAAATAGTAATAATTATACCCTGTACAAAAAAGGTATATATACTAGTTTAGTGGGAATGTATGTAACAAACAAGGATATATATTGTTGATCAGGATGACCATCTGTCCGTCTGTATGAACGTATAGATCTTAGGATGTGCAAGAGCTAGAATAACAAAATTTTATCTCCAGGTTCCCCTAAGCTCTAGGTAGATTAAGTTTATGTTTTTTTTTTTAATAACCAACCCGCCACTCACCGCTATATGTGACTTCCCATAAGTAACGTAATTCTTAAGTTCTTAAATCGAACTATGGCAAATGTAGAAACTTTTTGAATTATCATTTTCTGGATCATTTACTTATGTTTAAACTGAATTTGTAATTCTTTCCAGTGTCTCTTCATCGGAGAAAGCCGATCCCAACAAACATTACAAGAGCTTCAATCTACTCTCGCTGCCGTATCCGGGCTGTGAATTCTTTCGCAAGTTCCGCGACAACAATTACATGGCCAAGAATTTGCACTACAACTGGAAGCAATCGTTCAATGATGCCAACATAAACATACCAAATCTGGGACCCGCTGCAGATATGGACATCGTCTGGCCAGAATATCGGGAGTGGGATCTGGTCAGCATAACTCAAAACTATCTCAGGGCCACGCTCAAGTACATTCAGGAGGATAACGCTGGACTGCTCATACACTGCATTAGTGGGTGGGATCGGACCCCGCTTTTTGTCTCCTTAGTTCGCCTCTCCATGTGGGCCGACGGACTGATTCACCAATCGCTAAATGCACTGCAAATGGCATACTTCACACTCGCCTACGATTGGTACTTGTTTGGACATCAACTGCCCGACCGACTGAAACGAGGCGAAGACATCATGTTCTTCTGCTTTCACGTACTCAAGTTTATTACCGACGAGGAGTTCAGCATTGTGGAGCCGCGAAAGCGAACGAAGACGTCGAGTAGCAGCGGCAGCAGCGTCATTGTCATCAAGTCCGATTGTTGCGATGACGAGCCACTCAAGGAGTGAGTACAAATGTAGACAACGATGTGAATCAAATACTTATTAGTAATCTTATTCTATTTACCTTGCAGAGACTACATCTTATCTTTCGATCAAGATAGCAACGATAGTTATTCAAACTGTTCCAACTGTGATATGTCCATAACAGATAATTTTTACGCCACAGCGACATCAGGAGCACCAGCCGGCACGCTTATCAATCCGCTAACCAGTAGATCGCCCAATCCAAAACGGTAAGAACTGATCTACGGGAAATCTAGTGTTATTATCGTATATTATGAAATGTGCGTTATTAGGGAGTGTCTTCTCAGTCCTTTTCTAACTTTCTCCATTAAATGAATTTGAAATATTGGATACCTTTTTGTGTTTTACCTAATAATAGTAATCGTTAACGATATTGCGAGCAGAAATCTATACGAGTTTAGGCAACGGAAATCATTACATTGATGTACTTTGCATTAGAAACCATGTATTTTTATTAGAAACTATTTTCTTTATTAAGTTATTGCAGTTCAATCTTATTTTACCAACTACATTGAAAAGTTTTACTCATCATTTAAAGAGAGAAATAATATATAGTTGATTAAAATATTTTAGGTCTATAGGTCTATAAGAAGTGTACGAACACAAATATTCTGCTCTTATGGGAGAATAATAAATAGTTGATTAAAATATTTTAAAGTCTATATAGGAAGTCTGCTTAGTCGCGAGACCTGATCCCAATATAAAATCTTTCGGCTGTATCACCAAAAGATAGGTTCGAGATCGTTATAGAAATGCTGAAAATATTGAAACTGATAGATATCTTCTGATATAACAGTTGCTCGTTTCTTTTTAAATATATTTCATTAAATGTACGTGTACGAATAAAAGTGATATTTTTGTTACGGCTTTAATGTTGCTAAGATGTTCATCAGCATCAATCAATATCTTTAAAAACTTGGTTATTGCATTTTGAAATTGGTTGTTTCCCTTTAATGATGTGTTCAGAGTTGAACTAAAGACTAAAACACTAATAAAGAAACTTTTTTATTAAAATGCCATAGTTTTCACGACAGCTGTATATTCTATGAAGAATACAAAAATGTTGTCCCATAATTGATGGAAAAATATAAGAGTTCATCTACTATAGTACTATATAGAAACTGTGGAAATAAGACATCGAAAAATTTTTTTCTTATGTGAATCATATTTTTGACTGATTGTAAATTTTGAAGGATACGAGCACATCTTAGTTGTACTACTTGTATAAGACTTAACGATTAACGGTAACCAGTTCCTAGTAAATCAGAGGCTGTTCTGGTAATGGCTCTTAACCTAACTTCTCTAATTCCGTTTAACGGTCGTTAATAATGTTGTTTAATTTCTTGGCCTTTTTGCAGCTCCCGCACTAGCCCGATTTCGGTGCCTGGCTCGAATGCAGCCGTTCGCCAACGCCAAGAATCCACGTCCTCAAATGGCAGCTGGCAGGTGGTCACAGACACTGGCTCCATAGATTCGATGATGAACGGCAGCTACATGATGCGTTTTGTGACACAACAACACCCGGAAAGCAACAACATTCCCATCTGCAATGGCGGCAATGGCTATCACTGCAGCACAAACACGCCCAGCGCAAGCAGCGGCAGCAGTAACAGCAATGGAAGCAGCATTAGTGGTGGTGTTGGAGGCGTCGGCAACGCACCAACGCACGGTTTCGCAAACGGTTCCTCAAAAGAAGTGGGCGGCAGCATAGCCTCATCCAAGCAGTGCATAAACTTGTAAGCTCGATCTTGGCCAAATGTTTCCTTTGAATCTTAAAGTACATTGTGTTTCTTTTTCAGACGCAAGCAACGCTTGAACGCTGTGCGCGCCATCTTTATACAAGCTTATGGCAAGACTATTGGACTGAAATTCAAGGAGGCTTCAATGAACCTGACCACGTTTATTGGCAACTTGGCGGATCAACTGTTCTGAGAGGTCCAATGTCAGCGTGGTAGAGGAGACGGAAACTTGATGAATTAACAGTGTTTTAAGTCTGTTAGATTAAAGCCCAAAATAATGCTCCACAAGTAGCAAATTAGCAGAATGCCCCTGGGAACACTTTTTGTAGAGCACCCCCGCAAAAAGTCGTGGCTTTCTTGCATGTGACATGTTTGTTAGTTCATTTTTTGTTAGAGCTGGGCTTATACTGTCGACTGTATTTTGTAGGCATGTTTATTTACGTTCTTGTGACTGTTGTTGGTATTTAAAATAAAACAGAATAAAAAGTGAAAAAAAAAATTGGAAACCAGCCTACTTCCTAGTTCGCACAACTGGGCCATTGCAGATCATCCTAATTAACATGCATAGTACAACTTTCCCCTGTTGTCATCAGGCTGAGCAACTTTTTTAAATATAGGAAGCTTGAGACCGTGAATTTGTTTTTGAAATGTTTGTTTAGTTATTAGTTTGAATAAACAATAGCTTTAAGTTGTAATTTATAGTAATGTATTTTTTAAATAAATTTATTGTGCATTTGATAAAAATATAAATCTAATCTAGTTACTACGGCTAAGTTTTCTTATGGTGGCTAGTGGCAAATAGTCATCGATTTCTACACGTTTCAACCTCACACGCACATTTTGGATATAATATTTTGCACACTTTAATGGCACATAACGTAATCCTAAATTATTATCTATATTGTCTGTCGTCTCGCGGTCGATGCTTGTAGTGTCTGCCACTTTCCCAGTTTTGTCGGAGACTTTTTCTCTATGTTCAGGCGACTGTTCCTCCGGTTCCGGTTTAATATACGGCGGGGATGAAGGCCAAGTTGGTTCTTGGGCTGTTTGAACTGATTCTGTTGTTGGTGCTGTGCTAGTAACATTTTCAATAATCGGCAACAGTGGTTGATTCTGTGTGCTGCAAACACTGCTGATGACCAAGTTTGTTTCACAAGTGTTAACAATGTGTGCAGAGGTGTTCGGCTGTACCACGGGAATCGTGGCATTTGGGGGGATTTCCTTTACACGAATGTTCTTTAGGAACTCATCATATTCACGCTGAACTCGCGCCGTTTCGAGCTTGCCCATAGGAATGGTGGCACGCGTGCTCAGTTCCTTCTGGAATATAGCATTGAGGACCTCCACCTCCAGTTTTCTGCGCTGTTGTTCAGACAGATTCTCCACAAGCGGCACATGGTCAATGAGAAAGTTTTGCAGTGCGGTATTTCGCTTCACCAATGGTGGTGGTTGTTCCCCCATCATTGACTGCATTTTTTTCATCAAAGAATCCAGTTGTTCGGGAATTTGAGATTTCTCATCTGTGTTTACATTTCCCAAGATCGGTTTAAGATTACTCCAGCGCCATTGCAGTTCCTCGACGCTGAATGGAGCACTGAGCGGTAGTTCTCCGTAATTAGCATTAAATGACTTTGCTATCTGCTCCCACGCCCACTCCTCATAGTCCGGGTCTTGCTGGGGGCGAATGCGTCGGTTAAACAAGAAAGGGTACTTAAAGAGCAATTCCAGTAAGTACAAGTCATTGATAACTATTTGATTTTGCGAGTTTATATTAGATATGTTGACTTCCAGTTGCGCGGAAGCCCCCGCGTACATCGTGCTGGTATCGCAGTCAAGAACTCAGCAGTAACCAAAAGGCGGTATTGCAGCAGAGTTGTTGATGTTTTATCGATACATCTATATTAACGAATAACGATTATTTCTTGTCAACTATATTCGTTTCTTATTTCGATAAGCCATGCACATAGAACATTTTTCCTATTTTGTCGGGCATGTCTTCCTGTGGTTGACCGTTATATGCAGATATGTACTTTTATTATAATTATTAGAAATTTGACCCAATATATGTAAAAACTAAATTGAAAAGACATAGAACAATGTGAATATGTATTTTGCAAAACAATATAAAATGTCAATTATGCTCCAACCGTAATGGGATAATTAAGCATAATTTTCTTAGCAATAGAAAAACTATTGCTAAGAAAATTATGCTTAATTCTAACTATAGGGACTTTAACAAATTAGATAATACAAGAACGCCCTTATTGTTACGTATTGTTGAAATATTATTATTGAGTGACTTGTGATTTTGTAACGATATCACTCATCCCTAATTCGTCTTGCGAAAAAGAAGCGTCCTCGAAAAAGCCGCATATACATACAAATACACAAAATTGCAATTTGGTGAAATATATCGGAAAGTGAGACTTAATTTGGCGCCCCAAAATGAGTGGCGGGACTATGCTTTATGGGGGCGATGAGATCGGTGCATTGGTTTTCGATCCCGGTCACCATTCCCTCCGCGTGGGCTATGCTCAAGAGGACTCTCCTAAGGCCGAGATACCATCTGTTGTTGGCATAGGAGCACATGCGCCAGAGACCAACCTCGACCCTGAGACAAAGACAGATAACAATGTCACACCAAACAGTGAGTAAATCAACCCAATAGCCCTGCTTAAAATCCACCGCACTATGTATGTATGTAATTGTTTCTTTAGACGCAGATTCACGAAAATTCTATGTTGACACAAACTACGTAAATGTGCCACGGTCACAGATGGAAGTGCAAACATATATGAAGGATGGCATGATCGACAACTGGGAACTGTTTGAAAAAGTCATAGATTATGCATACGCCAACGTTATACAGTCAGAGCCGGAATATCATCCGGTTCTCTTTTCAGAAGCATCTTGGAACGTGCGCAACAATCGTGAAAAACTCACGGAGCTGATGTTTGAGAAATATAATGTGCCAGCATTCTTTTTGGTAAAAAACGCCGTGCTTGCAGCTTTTTCAAGCGGACGAGCCACTGCTCTTGTGGTGGATAGTGGTGCGACACACACATCGGCTGTGCCAGTGCATGAAGGCTATGTGCTGTCCCAGGCCGTAGTCAAGTCGCCCCTTGGTGGTGATTTCCTTTCGAGGCAGTGTCGACAGCATTTAGAAAAGCACGGAATTGACTTGTCCCCTGTATACCGGATAGCCTCAAAAGACGTTGTGAAGGAGCGCGATAATGCGCGCTTCACGCTGCGCAAGCTGCCGGAAAACCTCACACAATCATGGCAAACTTATATGCAACAATTACTGATGCAAGACTTCCAGATGAATGTGCTGCAAGTGTTAGAAAATCCGTATGACGAACGTGTAGCTGCGCAAATACCAACCGTGCACTACGAATTTCCCAATGGATATCACCAAGAATTTGGCTCTGAGCGCTTCAAGATTGCCGAGAGCCTCTTTGACAATGCAATGCTAGGTGCTGGTCAATTGGCCTCAACAAGCGTAGGCATGTGTGATGCTGACGTTCGATTATCGCTCTTTGGTTCAGTGGTGGTTACGGGTAAGCGAAATAAGTTTGGAGTATATGCAGTATTTAGCATGTCGTGTCATCATTATAGGTGGTAACACGCTGATCCAAGGTTTTCCGGAACGTCTAAATCGCGATCTGCAATTGCGCGCACCCTCAAACACACGGTTGAAAATGATTTCGGCCAACGGCACAGTTGAGAGGCGGTTCGGCGCTTGGATTGGCGGATCTATTTTGGCCTCCATTGGAACTTTCCAGCAAATGTGGATATCTTCGCAGGAGTACGAGGAGGCCGGCAAGAGTCAAGTGGAACGCAAGTGTCCATGAATGCGCCCTTGGGTATTCCCATTTCAGGTCATAACAAATTGTACTTTTAATTTTAGAGGCAGAGCTAAACCCTCTATGTATGAAAACTTTAAATGATTAATTATAAATTTTACAAAATGCTACAAACATCACATTACCGAAAGCTGTAAAATGCATGGATAAAACTCGAATGAGAAGCATATCTTAAGACAAATTATGGGTCAAATCCAACCAACTGATCCGATGGCGGAAATGCATATAGATCTTGCTTAAGATGTGGTACTGTTTCCGAACTGTTTCCAGGTTCTAATTCATAGACAATGGATATTGAATGAAGCTTTGGTGTGCGCTTTTTGTAGAGCTTAGGATTTGTTGGCATAATAAGGGGTTTTCGACGCAATATCGTGTCCTGTGTGATTTCAGTGCAGAGTTTGAGGAAGCGTCACATAGCTCCAGACATGGTATTGTTGCAAACGCATTGCTGCAAGCCAAGCATAATTAGAAATAAATGTACATTTATGCATATGGGCATTTATCCATACCTTGGCATTGAGAACATCTTCGGTCCAATCCTGCTGGGCGATTCGTCCGACAGCGTTGACTAAAATCTTCTTCACCTTAATCACATTGGCGGCAAACGTTTGCAACACATCCTGCACATTTACGCCCTCGCAGCCCATGCGCCAGCAATCGTAGTCTGTTGCTATGGCCAAGGACCCATAAAGCAAGCCAGCCTCTTTGGCCAAAACAACTTCCGGACATGTGGTCATATTTATGAGATCTCCACCCCATTGCCTGAACATATGGCTCTCGGAACGGGAAGAGAATCGTGGACCCTCAATTGTTACGATGGTGGCCTTATCGTGTGTAGGTATATCGAGCTCCTTTGCCGCCTCCAGAATCACGGCACGTGTTCGCTCACTAAAAGCCGGATACATGGGCAAGTGGCAAACGCCTCGGGGGCTTTGAAGACCGCCGTCATAGAAGGTTTGGGCTCGTTTAGTAGTGCGATCAATAAAGTCATGCGGTACCACCAAATCTCCAGGCTGTATTTCTTCTCGCAATGATCCACAAGCTGTTGAAACTAATAAATGAGTGCAGCCCACTTGGCGCAGGGCCCAGACATTCGCTCTATAGTTGACATTCGACGGCATTATGTTATGTTGACGGCCATGACGAGCTAGCAACACACACTTTACACCTCCAATTTCGCCTTCTATGAGAGAATCCGACGGATCTCCATAAGGTGTTTCGACCACCTTCTCTTGGCGTTGCTCGAAAAAATCTGGGTCATCAAGTCCGGAGCCCCCAATAATACCAATCTGCATAGAAGCATATTTCCTGTACAGGAGAACTGAATCTATGAACAAAAACACCTACCTTAACTGGTATGGGGTCAAGATTAGAGTCTTTACATTTAATATGTATCATTTTTCGACTTATGTATGTGATTATTTAATTTAACTACGGAAACAGACTGGAAATGTGCTTATAATAAAACCATGAGTGATAAGCGTGTGTGTACGCGAAGACGCCCCTACACCAATAATCAGAGGCATATTGATTCGTAATACATCACAACTTGTCAGCTAGAATTCTTGATAACCAAGAGGTTTACAAATTAATTGCACGATGATCTAATAGCTAGCAAATACATATAAATATGTTTTACATATTTAGTTAAATAGCGAAAACTAGAAAGAAAAAAAAAGTACAAGCAGGAAAATATACTGTCATCCTGGCATATTCCTGCCTGGACCAAGTGATTTTATACATTTTTTGAATCTCAGCGTTTTCCAATACTAAACATTAAACGACAACGTGCGAATAGCATGAAGAAAGAGGAAGCGCTTACAACATCTGGACTGGCCACATGTGCCGCTATAAGGAATAAAAATGATGGAATTGGATTTGCCGGGACAGGATATAGACGATATCGAAGATCTCATATCTGCCACTGACATAAAACCGAAGGAACGCTATCAGAACAAGAAGAGCGTTACAGTGCGCGTTAAAAGAAAACCTAAAATAGATGTTAACGCCGACGCAGATACAGAGACGGCTGTGAAGGCAAAAACAATACATGAGAGCGTAATTCCAGGCACCCAGAAGGTATTTGTAAAGACATGGGGTTGCGCGCACAACAACTCCGACTCGGAATACATGGCAGGCCAGCTGGCAGCTTATGGCTATAATCTTACAGCCCGAAAAGAAGACGCCGACTTATGGCTCCTGAACAGCTGCACAGTAAAAAACCCTTCAGAGGACACTTTTCGCAATGAGATCGAGTCAGGCATGCGAAACGGTAAACATGTCGTTGTAGCGGGCTGTGTGCCGCAGGGTGCGCCAAAGTCGGATTACTTGCGCGGTCTTTCAGTGATTGGTGTACAGCAGATCGATCGCGTTGTCGAGGTGGTGGAGGAGACACTGAAGGGCCATAGTGTGAGGTTACTGCAAAGCAAGAAGGTGGATGGGCGACGTGTGGCCGGCGCGCGATTAGCGCTTCCGAAGGTGCGAAAAAATCCGCTTATTGAGATCATATCGATCAACAGCGGGTGTCTCAATCAATGCACCTACTGCAAGACAAAGCATGCACGTGGCGACCTTGCGAGCTATCCGCCTCCAGAAATTGTGGAGCGTGCTCGGCAATCGTTTGCCGAGGGTTGCTGTGAAATTTGGTTAACATCAGAGGATACAGGTGCCTATGGGCGCGATATTGGCAGCTCGTTGCCCGAACTGCTTTGGCAATTAGTAGAAGTAATACCGGAACATTGTATGCTGCGCGTGGGAATGACAAATCCACCGTACATTCTGGAACATCTCGAGGAGGTGGCCAAAGTGCTACAGCATCCGCGAGTATATTCCTTTCTGCATGTGCCGGTGCAGAGCGGCAGCGACCATGTATTGGGTGAGATGAAGCGTGAATATTGCCGCAAAGACTTTGAGCACGTGGTCGACTTCCTGAGAGCCCGTGTACCGGGTCTGACCATAGCTACAGACATCATTTGCGGCTTCCCCACTGAGACGGAGCAGGACTTCGAAGAAACAATGACGCTGTGCGAAAAGTACCGCTTCCCCAGTCTTTTTATCAATCAATTCTTTCCACGTCCCGGTACACCGGCTGCCAAAATGGAGCGCATACCCGCTAACCTGGTAAAAAAGCGCACCAAACGGTTAACCGATCTCTTCTACAAATACGAACCGTACGCTGGGCGAGAGGGGCAAGTGTACACAGTGCTAGTGACCGAAATATCGCACGACAAGCAGCACTATGTGGGCCACAACAAAAGCTACGAACAGGTGCTGTTGCCCATGCGTGATAATCTCCTGGGCACAGCGGTGCGAGTGCGCATTACGGGAACTAGCAAGTTTAGCATGAATGCCGAGATTCTGGACGATGAGCAGGAGTGGACGCGTTGTGCAAAAAAACAGATTGATGAGAAAGATGGAATAGACGCTTCGTCCCTGCGCAAAGAGAGATTGCTACAACGCTACGTGGGAATAGCTCTGTTAATTGGTAGTGTGGCCTTCCTGCTACAGTTGTTGATCAAGATTCTCTTAAGCAAATAAACCGTACACATGATTTCGAAATATCTGAATGTTGTATAATTTAAGTAACATTGTGTTTTGCCTTGGGATCAGTATCATCATCCAGCGACAATTTGAAACTTATTTTTAATTATGTATATTAAGATTAGGAGGATTGTGTGGATCCTCAGTAGTCATCCGACGGCTCTGTGCCAAAGTAGCGGTCGCCGAAATTGCCAATGCCGGGTATAACATAAAACTTACTATTAATCTCCGGATCCAGAGCGGAAGTAACAATTTTAACCTGGAATTATTGAATAGGTAAGTTTTTCGTGTACCAGTACATAAATATATGTATGTGGCTTGGTCAAAGAGAAGTGCCCATTTAACAGGCAGTACTTCTTTTTAAATAAGTAAGTTTTTCGTGTACCAGTACATAAATATATGTATGTGGCTTGGTCAAAGAGAAGTGCCCATTTAACAGGCAGTACTTCTTTTTAAATATTGTTCCGTATTAATCAAATCGGGTGAAATACAAATTTTTGCTAGTGCCATTTGTACTTACCCTAGGGAAGGCATATGCAATGGAGTGTACACCGATTTCGGCCATCAGCAGCGAAGCAAGTATAATATTCTCCTCCGGCACATCATGGTCGAGCAGAACACGCACAGCCATCATGGCAGCCGCACCGGTGGCCACAGTCGCGTCCATCAGTATCACCTTGTAGTCTTTAATGTCTTTGGGCAAGCGAAGATAGTACAGCTCTGGTTCGCCTGTCTTTAAGTTAGTCTGTATAAGGATCTTGCCAATACGTATGTCCTTGCACACGTCACAAACGGCTTGTTCCATAGTCTCGCCGGCGCGCAATATAGAGACGCCGCATATTTTACGGGAGGCCATCCGTCTGCCACTATACAAAACGCCCTGAGGCGTTTCAATGGTTGTCTCCTTGAAGGGAAACAGGCTTAGCGCATACTCTATGACCAGACGTATAAGACGCTTTGAATAGAAGATGAATTCATCTCGAGATGTATTCTTGCAGCGTATAAATGTATGCAGTCCTTTGATTTGCGGTGTCGGATGCAGTAAATGAAGAGAATCTGGCATGGGTTGGTCTTTGTAGGAGTTAGCCAGCGTTTCACGTAATTTAAATCCGCGCTGCAAGATCGAAAGCAGGAACGATGAAGTTGCACTAACATTAACAGTTTCTAGTCAATCCACTTACCAATTGCAACTGCGTGTGTACGTGTTGAACTATTAAATGAATGGCCACTTTATTCTCACCCCCGCGGGGCACAATAATATCAGCGTGTACCATTGTAGGTGCTATATAGTTGGCATAGGATGGCTTCACCATATTCAGGTATTGTTTTAGCACGCCTTTAAGGTCGCGCCCACGTTGTGAAATATCTCTTTATACCAGAAAGAAAACATATACATAGATTATTATTGTTATAATTAAGAAAATTTGCACGTTGCAATAGGGAGTTGTTTCAAAAAAAAAAAAGGTGACTCGAATTGTCGAGTCGACCCATTTATCCAAGAAAGATATATGTAGTTATATATTTTTAATATTCTCTATAAGGATCATCCTAGAAAACTGCTGGCAAACAAATTAGAATATGTATGTATATGATTCAGAATTGACATCTTAAATATTTTCAAATTTTGCTTGGAAGTTCTTCGACTGCGAACAGTTTTCGTTAGTTTCGGCTCATCGTGGAAGACCCATATAGATGTTTTTTTTTTTTGAATGTAGAAATCATTATAACATTCATTTAACAATGTATGATACTAAAGTAAAAGTAAGTATATCAAAATCCAATAAATCGTTAAACAAACATTTTTTAAGGCACAGTAAGATGAAATTTTTCATAAACAATGCAGATTGGTTAGTTTATCATTTTTATAACCAACAAGAATAAGAAGCATCCCTACAGAACAGTGAGCAGGATGCCTGCATAGATAATTTGGAAAGGTCCAACCCTTTTCTTTGCTATCGAGCCACTTTGAACTGCCTACAGAAAAACTGATAACGAATAATAGAGCTGGTTGGTGCTTCCGTTACATGCTATTATTATAGTGACCCGTATAAGTTTGAACACTAACTATGAATTCAACTTTTGTTGTTTCTATCCAAATTATTAGGCCCGTACTTATATCCTGTTATTAAAATGTTTGTATTCTTACCGTTTCAGTCGCCTGGCTAGACGTATGTCTGAATCTGTATCGACGAATATTTTCATGTCCAAGAGTTTCAATACCTCGGGACTATGAAAAGTGAGAATCCCTTCAAATATAATAACATTTGCGCCATACATGGTTTTCTATTGAGATTACAACGCATTAATATGGATTAACTTAATTCCCGGGCATTTTAGGGTATACACTTACTGTTTGGCTCTCACGTCCATGTGTCACAAAATTATATACTGGCACCTCGACTTTCCGGCCCTCCTTTAGCTTGGTTAGCACATCCAGCAGCAAGTCGATGTCAAAGGCATCCGGGTGGTCAAAGTTGTATTCGTTGTAGAGCGCTTGCTCGTGTTGCTTTTCATTTAAGATCTGTAAACATGCCAGAAAAAATTAGCATTGAAAATGTATTGCATTAAAGTATATTATAATAATATATTAGTAGTAAATATGATATATTTATATATAAATCTATACAACATTTATTCCTATTAGTCTTTTAATTTTGCAGAAAACAAATGGCTATAATTCGGATGGTCGGTCATATATAATGAATGCCTATCAGATGTTTGAATCGCAAGGGATTGTATTTTTATTGAAATTTTTTTTTGTATTTATTGGTTGATTAGAGCTGTTTATTTCACTGTTTATTCCATTGGGCCAACGACTACCACTGCAAATCTGAATTCTTAAGACACATTCGAGGGAAGTACTAACATACAAATAAATTTAGACTTTTTGTAAACGCACCTTATAAAAGCAATCCATGGACAAGAGCGTTACCCAAGGCACATCCAGACTTTCTATTATTTTTTCTGCCACTGTGGTTTTCCCAGAAGCACTGCCACCACAAATACCTGTGGGAGGCGTCAAACGAATCTATTTGAATTACTTTGTGGTGTTTTTTCCTACTTACCTATAACGAAAGGTTCGACCTGCTGTCCAGCGCAATTATACCATGGTGGACGCCCCGCTGTGTAAATGGTTCGATTGTTGGCTCGTATTATGCATTCCGATGGATTGGCAGTGGTCGTCTGGTTGCCGATTGAAGTCGTACGAGGTCGTCGCCCAGAGCGGCGCATTGGGGACTCCAGGGCGTTCTTGGCAGGCACTGTTGTTGGTGAGGCCGGGCAGCAGACGAGCTCTCCGGTACTCCCCGCCTCCGCAAAGGGATCAATATAAAGCTGTTCGATCGCATCGGAACGATCGTCACTATAAACAAAAGCAATTTTCTATTATCAAATTGATAAAAACAATACACATTCTGTATATAAAAATGAGAATGCGTTTACATTCATTGGGCATTGATAAGCCTAGTACAATTACACTTGGGCTTAAAGATACTGACCTACTTGCTGCCCGCCAAAAACAATAGTCGTGCGTGGTTAGAAATAAACATAATGCTAACGGAAAAGATACACACACACACACATAAAAGAACGCGTGATAACTGATTAAAGGTTCCAAAATAAAGTAAGTGGAGATTTAACTAACAACCAAGTTCGACAGTTAAATACCCTGTTTCCAAAAAATATTAGAAATTTAAAGTAGAAAGTAGGATATAAATGATGTGTGTAAAGTTTAGTTGCTGTCGAAAGTAATAAGTAGTAGTTTTGTAAGTAGAGTCTACAAATAAAGTATGGTCAATGTGGATTTAGGGGTTTCCGAAATTCAGATGATCATACAGACGGACAGACTGACATGGCTAATTGATTTTTCCCGTCATGCTGGTAACAAATACTTTATGGGATTGGAAATGCTGCTTTGGCCTGTAACATACATTTTCACAAATCAAATATACACTCCTTACTTTCCGGATGTAGGGTACAATAACTAGAGGCACGACCCATACATATATTAAAACAATAAACAGGCGCCAGCAGAAGATGCCAAATACATAAACAAATAAACAACAAGGGAATTGCAGAAAAGTTTAAGGCGTCTTGATATGTTGACTTCTGTTGGTCGCAATTAAATTCAAAGCCATTTATACACCAAATATGAGTAAATACGCAGGTCTCCCTAACAAATTGTTAAATGGAGCCCACTTTCTTGATAAGAATGACGGGTGACTAAGAAACTGCAGTAATTAATTTTAACGCGTTAGGTACGCTCCAGATAAACAAATATTCTGTTTAAATCCAATGAGTTCATTTCTTATTTTAGACATTTTTTTGTCAAACTTAAGCAGTTTCTACTATACTGCATGTACATATATAGATATGTACATTCATATGTATGTATGTATATACTCTTATGTACGAATGCATTTACCAGACGTTTGCTATGCTTAAGTCTGTAGCATGAATGAGGAAGGGGGCAAATGCAGATGTTTTCTTTTTTCTAGGCAGTAGCTTATTGTCAGATGATGCCCCGAGTCAAAAGCGTTCGTTGCACTCATCGGGTGCTATGGGTATCCAAACATATGCGCATATGTATGTATGTATTTAAGTACAAATGTACATACCTACAAACATACGAATGAACATTGGTATTTTAGTTATGCTCTTATACCCAATATTTACATACATACACGTACATATACATACATATATATGTATACATATATATGTATACATATGTATATAATATGTAGTAAAATGTGAGATGTACATATGTACAACAGGCAGTGTTAAAATGTAGGCCAATATATTGGCCTATTCATTGCTTAAAATTTTACGTTGAAACATGTGCTTTGGCTTTTTAATGAAAGGAAATGATAATTCCTACGAAATAACATCTTAAAGGAAAACAATACTTGTGCCCTATTTTGGGTACAAGGGCTTACAAACAAAATTTGTTAGACGTGGCCTTTGATCGTGGCCATTTTGAAACAAATTACGGACGCTGTCGCTGCTGTCGATGTTATAGCCTTTGTTGTTGTGCTCATTGATGCCAACCCGACAGCGATACACGCTTACGTTACAAAGAGCGTTAATTAAATACAAGAACACAAGCAACAACAACAAAACAATTAGAGTCTCTGTCAACAATGAGACAATAAACAGTAGCAAATGATAATAAATATACAATAAAACATATCAATGAATACAAAAAATATATAAAAAGAAGAAAATGTAATAGTTTACATGTGACTGTTGATTGGTGCGCTCGTTGTTGTCGTTGTTGGTGGTGGTGGTGGTGATGTTGTTGTTGTTAGTAAGTCGATGGAGGCAGATGATTTTCCCACATCGGCGTAACTGCTGTTATTGTTGTTGATATTTTTGTTGGCAGTAATAGCGGTGTTGTGGTTAGATTTGCTGCATAAAAACGTGATGCTGCTGCTACTCATGTTGGCAAATTAAACACACCGGCCACAGAATTGTTGTTGGTTACCGCTTGCGTAGGTGGCGACGGGTGCGATGGCAGTGAAGGCAAGACAACGAACCGACGAATGAGATTTAACAAACACACATACAATAGCGAACGGGCAGGGAGGCTGACAGACAGACCAACTCACTCACACATGCGAAAAAGTATGCACAATGAGACCGGCGCGGTGATCGCATGTGCTTTTTGCGTTGTGAAATTTCTTTCCGATATCTATCTAAAATATATTATATATACATACATACATATGTATGTATGTATGCTTGTATATATGGCACACGTACACCGGTAAAATGTCGAGCAATGTGCCGCGTTACAGTATATTGCGCCCGCCCGGTTCTGACAAAGTTTCAAGACCGACTGAGAAAGTGTGAGTCGCAAAGGTATCGGGAATGTGTTAATGTTAAGGTTAAAATGCGGACTGAAGTCGGCTCACTGCCGATGCCAAAGCACGTTAAAAGCTAGTTTGTTATTTTGTGCTGTTCTTTTTGTTCCTACTGTATCTGTATAACTGTATTTGTATATGCATACAAGATTCTTTCACAATTAAACTTGCAAGCAAACACACGGAGGCAACTTCAAACACGCACACACAGGAATCTGCGCATAAACTCATACACAATTGTAATTATTATTGCGTGTCGAACATCTAAAGGCCCGAAGTGATGAATGTGAATAGCATTAAGCCATATGACGAATTTTCAATCATTTCCACATAACAATTCGCACAAATAAATACAATATCTATCTCTTTTTACCTGTCAGAGCTCGCGGAACTCGCTGGATTGTGAAATTTTATTTGTTTTGTCTGCGTTACAGACATTTCCCAGCCTTTATTAGCAACGCAGCCAACTATAGAGCGATAAGAAACACGCGGCCAGTACTCTTTAAAAATCACTGAAAATTAGAGCAGTCAGTACAATCGAATGAAACGTGCGCGGCCCGTTGTATGTTGTTGGTATGAACTGAACTAAATTAAACAAGATGCCTGACCGCCTCTAAATCCATATGTACGTACATAAATAGAGCAAATATTAGGTTGCACCAAATGTGAAATAGTTCTATTTGTCTCTATTAATATTAAACAGCGTACGGCATACACATAACAAAAATTCGAACCAGCTGTTATTAATTGGTTGCATTGGTGGTGTGGGATGGTGTTGTAAAATGCGTTTTTGTTCTGGATTGCAAATTGCAATCTTTGTACGATTTGGCGCTGCCAGATCGTCCGAGTCGGCTTCGTTTTGTAACACTACATGGCAAAAAGAAGCACGGGGAAAGAGCGAGAGAAGAAAGGCATCAAGAACGGGAGGAAATATTAATTTTTTTTAAACTAATTGTTTATTTCTGTAAAAGTAAATATGGCCTAGTTGCAGCAGTGTTTATATAAATAAGCATGGCCTATATAAACATAGCAGAATGGACGCCAGACCAAGTTACAGACTGGATCAAAGGTATGCTCCCACTTAATTTTAACAGGTCAAGGAAAAGTGCATCAGCCCATCCCAAGCTTAAGCATCACATCAAACTATTCACTGACACAATTTCTTTTTTTATTTTGTTTTCTGAAGGTCTCGACGATTCTATGAAAGGCTATTTGTATGAATTTTCTAAACATGAAATCAGCGGTCGAGTCCTTCTTAATATTCGCCCGTATGAGTTGGAAAATTTGGGCATGAAAGCTATAGGTCATCAGGAAATTGTTTTGGATGCTGTTGAGAACCTCCGGAATTTTGTAAGTCTTCACCATTTTGCCTCTTGTATTCCCCTTATTTACTACATCTTTATTCTACAAATTTTGTAGCACTATCACCTTAAAGATGACAACCTGCAATTTATGGCCCTTCAAGTTGGCGTGGCCGCACGAAATTTACATCGCGAACTGGCCAAAAATCATGCCGACAGCACAAAGATTGATACCCGAACTCTTCACGACATCACGAGAACGATTGCCACAATAAAGCCACTGATCGGCAGTTTGGAAAGATCGCCGTTTCGTCAGCAAGATATGTATTGCGAATATTGCAGTAATGTGCTTCGCTGCGGTTTGGAGCTCGCGACCATTGCGCAACGAGACCGTTTTGCTGTTCAACCAGTGGCTTCGATAAAGGCATCGGCGGAGCGTCTGGAGCGACTTGCCGATTTTATTATAAGGGACCTATCTGATCCTATGGTGCTGCAACCCTCCTCCCTGAACCTGGTAACGCTAAAGAAACGCGAGCCGGACTTGGGCTTTAACATTGAGTCAAGCTACAATGGCATTCATCGCGTAACAGCTATTAATCATAACTCGCCAGTGCATAGCTCTGGTAAAATTGAGGACGGCGATGAAATTGTTCAGATCAACTATCAGACCGTTGTTGGTTGGCAGCACAAAACGGTGCTGCAACACCTACGAGAGGCGCTGCCCGATGTAGTACTGACTGTCAAGAAACGGCCCAAGCACACCAAGATGTTTGGACAGATCTACATGCAACCTTATCGCTTGCCAAGTAAAAAGCGGAGCATCGCCAGCCGCTGGGCCGAAAATTTGCCAAGTCCTCGCGCTGCCTTCCTTACATTGGACCCGGACAATGCCGGCGCTACAATAGCAGAGTCGGTCATTAGTGATAAACGTACGGAGGAAAAGAAAGAATTGGCGGAGGCCAAGGCGAATGTAGCAGCATCCTCAGATTCGGATTCAAGCTGCAGTGATATACAAACGCCCACGGATCCTAATTCGGCGACGCGGGTAAAGCGCTTGTACTATCCCAAACCACGGTCCGTGCTCCAGCGCAGAAACACAATTTGTGGCGATAAGCCCTGGAATCATAAAAACTCGGATCTTGTAATTCCATCTTGGCATGAACGCAAAACCGAGGGCGTAGACTGTGATCCCAATTCGCCAAGTATACGCGATAAGTCGATATCATTTGGCTACGGTCTGGAGATTGCGCCCCGGCCAACTACTATTGGAACAACTATTGGAATAGGGGGGGACAGCTCTGACGCTAGACGTATGCAGAACGAGGTGCGCAAACTAAAGCAGTTAACCGAGGCAGGCCAAGAAGCACAGCAGGAACTGGAGGAACCATATAAGCCGGGTGTAAGCAAAGTGGTTCGCTTCGATGCCAACATGAAGGTGGAGGATTATGTAGTAAAAAATGAGAAATTTACGTGCAATGTTGAGAACACCATACTAGAGACCTTTGAACCCATACCCTTTGCCGACGAAGGTGATGAAGATGCGTTGGAAACGCTGCGAAATTGCAAAACAGAAAGTACAAGTGAATTGCTTGAGGCTCTGGATAGGGCAACGAGGGGTAACGAGACGCCACTGGTAGAGGCAATCAATGCACCATTATTGCAGAATCGTCGCGGTCGCCTAGACAAGAGCCACAGCACTCCAGCGTATGACAATTCGGGCGAAGAATCGGATACTCCACCGGCAATCGAGCCGCGCAAAGAATTTCTATTGGTGACGCCACCCGCACCACCCCCAAGACCACGTAAGCAAAAAGAGCTGACGCCGCCGGTGGTGCCAGTACCGCCGCCAAAGCCAGCGAATCTGCTTGCAGCGGCACCAGCAGTTCAACCAGGAGCCAACGATACTACAGAAATCAGTGAACTGCACACGCCAACAAAGTCGCGCACGCTCACATTGAAAAAGAAGCACAATCTTATGGCCAAGAGACGGAATACAAATCTGAAGATACTCGGAACTGGCGACATCCAGGGTTATCTGTATAGGCGGAAGAAAAATCATCGAGGTGTCACGTATTGGGCTCGCGTCTATTTCGTCATGCTGGACACGATTCTGTATGGGTTTCGCAATAAGCAGGCGACCACTGCCAGTCTGGTTATCTTTCTACCTGGCTTCACCGTGTCCCTGGCCACGGAGATACATTCTAAGCCCCATGCCTTCATGGTATATTACATGGCTAAAACATTTTATTTTGCCGCCGAATCGTTGGACGCGCTTAATCAATGGGTAGAGTTTCTGCGGCAGGCATCGCTAAAGGTGCCCGTCTGGAATTTAAAGGGAGGCAGCAGTGCAAGGGGCGAAATGGTGGACACCAAAGACCTCTATTCTGAGAACGACAGTTCAGGTGAGGAGAACGAAGCCTTAATAGCCAAGAATCTTTGTACGCCTTCGCCCCAGGGAGCTAAGGAAATGGCATCAAGTCTATCGTCGGGTTCAGTACAGCTGAGGGTTAGCGGCACGTCCACCAGCTTTATATCGGACAAGCATGATCGTAGCTATTTTGACTCGCTGTTCAAATTTAAAATGGGCCCATTCAAAAGTAACTCTGCGAAGCTCTCGAGTGATATACCTGTTCCCACTGAGCAATATCGCAGCTTCCGTAAGGTGCCCGGCGGAAGTTGTGGCATTCAGATTGGAGCAAATACTCCTGGGTATCATGATCCCGCTATGCCACCCACGGCGGTGACTCCGTTACCGGAACCAGCAACCGCCACCTTGCCGCGCAAGTTATCGCGCTCCTCTAGTCGCAGTTCGGTGGTTAGCAACACTGAATCGTCGGCATCGCTGGGTCTGGGGCCACCCACATCGCCCGCGCCTACTTTGTCATCATTGCAGCACCAGAGTTCGGAAGAGAGTCCCAGCAGCAAGTCGAGCTCAAAACAGGTTTCTCGTAACTTTATGCACGCCTCCAATCCCAATCTGGTGGAGTTCGATTTCAACACGACTAAGAATTTAATGCAAAATAAGAGCGCCGGCAGTGCGCTCGATGCCACACATCACCATCACAATACTCAGGGATTCGTAACCCTAAAGGACCTCATGCTGCGCAAACAGGAAGAGGAGGCTCAGGAAATGTACAACAATCGTGTGCACTTGGGCGTTGAGAAGCACAACAACAAACGACACATGAGGACTGAGTCCACGGCCAGTCAGCAGAGCGTTAAGCCAGCGGCTTCGAAGCCAAAAGGCAATGGCGAGAAGTTACCTAAGATACAGAGCTGCAGTTTGCCCAAGACACCGGACTACGAGATTAGCTTCAAGCCGGATGACGAACGGATCAAGAACACACGGACCCTTGAAGGACAAAAGCTCCGGGACTTTGGCTACGAGCTCATATGTGGCGATGAACCAGTTTCAAATGTCAGCTCCAATGCCACCGCATCGAGACAAAATTCTCACAACTCCAATGCTTCTACTGCGGAGCTGGATCAACAGACGCATCAGCAAAGTCCATTACCCTTGAATAGCCGCACACGGAATTTCCAGCTGTCTAGCTTTCTGCATAAGGGCCACAAGAAGCACAGCAGTGGCAGCGTATCCTCTGCGTCGGAAATGAGTACTTCGGAAAAGTTCTTGGGTGGCACGAAGAAGAAAAACAAAGGGACAGGCGATCGTCGCTTCCCCTTTACCAAACATTCGGTAACCAGTGGGGCGCCACCGGCACATGCCATGACCATGACATTGCCCCTTAACAAGAAGTCCAAATCGAATCACGCCCTGGATACGTTCGCGTGTGTAAGTGGAAGTAGTTCCGGAGCGGGAGGCAGCAACATTAAGAAGAGCCAGACTTACAATCAGGACCTTAGAGACAAGGTTGCGGGCACTAAATATGACGCGCCTCGCAAGAACTCGGCGCCGATACCCATATTTTCAAAGCTGTCCATTCCATCGTCGAGCGGGACGCCTAAAACTTCTAAGGAGAGAAGAATTCTTGGCTCACCGCTGCTGCATCGTACAATCTATGGCCATCATCAACAGCAACATAATGTATCGCCGGCTCTACCCATTACGCCGCCCATCAGCACGGACCCAGACTGCGAGCAGGAGATTTTCTCGCAGGTCATTTTTCCCACGCCCCTACAACGTCACTTACACGGTGATCGTTACCGGGGCGCTGCCCTGCCCACGGCAGCTATCTCCAACACCAATTTATGTGCATCGGAGGCACTGCAACCTCCACTGCCACCTGCACCACCACCTCCGAGTGGTGGAGCGACACCATCAGTCAGGGACGATGTCAACGAAACTGTATCAACAACACCAAAAGTATCAAACACCAATTCTGTAGATTCGAAAGCCGCCACTCCGGACTATCCAAACATGGAGTGTCCTCCAGTGTTCGAACCAGAGATATATTCATTAAGCGAACCAAACACCAGCCTCTCGCGGCTTATACTCCGCAATAATAGTAGTCCCAGTAGTGGCGGGGAACATCATCAAACTTAGGTGTGATGTAAACGATTGTGAATGCTCTATGTAGTATATACCTAGTTATGTATGTTCTTTTTTCATTTGTTCATTTTATATGGTCTTCCCCACGCCACACCCTCCTTATATGTATGTATTTGGGCCTTATTTGCACGATTTTGGTTGTAGAAAAATTTGTTTTAGGCTCACACGCGTAAAAGTCTGTGCATCGAAAAAAAGAAATAAGAATTCTTTATAATTTGCCTTTATATGAGATTAACCAAGTTAATCAAAGAGCTGTTTGATTTGCTCAACAGTTTACGTCTAGGATATTGTATGTAAATGATATAGTTTATATATGTACCAAAATGCTGTAGTAAATATATATACATACATACACACAAACATATATAAATAAAGTCAACTGTACATAAAACAAAGATACTAATTTCTTATTCTTGATGTTTACCTTCAATATGGATCCATACGGAAAACCAAAATATTAAGTTGTATGCGAACATTTTTAAGACGAACTTTGATTTCTGGACCCACAAACTTCCAATGAAAATCCCGATTTTTAAAATAAAATCAACTTCCTTATTTTGACAAATTAAAAAAATTGGTTAAATAATTGGCATTTGATGGCATTCTTAAATTCCTGGTTCCTATTTTCCACTCCATTGTGCTTTTTGCAATATGTTAGATGTTTTGATTTGAAATCCCTTTATTATAATTGCTAAGAATTACCAAAATGTTAAAAGTATAGAAAGCGAGCCTTTGCTTTTGTACGGCCTTTTCACCGATTTAAGCCAATTCAGTAATTTGTTTCTCCACCTCATCTTTGCCGAACATATAGAATTGTTTCTCTGGTGTCATGGTCATAACTTCAACATTGGTCGAGCTGAGTTTCTCCTCCATAACCTGTTTCAATGTATTTAAGGACAATTTAATAGCATCCTCCAAAGTCATTTCCTTTGTGTAGTTGTCCTTTAAGTTTTGTTGTGCGCCCTCGCTGCCAGAGCCTATAGCCTTGGCCTCATACTGTATATATGTGCCCGACGGATCCATGTGCCACAGTTGAGGAACGCCATCTTCAATGCCGGCAAAGAGTATGGCTACTCCGAAGGGACGACTCATAGCGGAACCTCCATCACCATCGCCACTGTCACCAAACTGTATAGCCAGAGTAGAGACAGCCTGAGCGCACGACTCGATGGACATTCGCTCATTGTAAACGAACCAGTGATTTTGGCATTCAACGCGGGCACGTTCGATCAGGGTGCGTGCGTCGGCCATCAAGCCTGATGTGGCACAGCCTATGTGCTTGTCCACTTCGACGATCTTCTCGACGGTACTTGATACCATCAATGGCGACGTGATGCGTTTTTCAACAGCGAGGACGACGCCTAAGGTGAAGAAAGATACAGTTTAGACAATATAGATTTGCGGCATTTATAGCTCACCTTCGGTAGTGCAAATGCCAATGGCGGTGGAACCTAATTTAATTGCCTCAATAGCATATTCAACCTGGAAAAGGCGGCCTTCCGGCGAGAAGGTGTTCACACCTCTGTCGTACTCGGAACGCGTAAGAAACATCTTTGGAATAGTTTCAAATGTTAATTTGTGTATGCTTTTCAAATGATATGTTGCTTACAGACTTACTTTTGCTTAAATACTTCAACAAATTCAACAACAAAAATAATGCCGGAATGACTTGATGCCTAAAAATTGTTAATAGTGACTTGCGTATAAATTGACAGATACGACTGTGTGGCAACCTTAGCAATTGCGATTGAGTGCTGAAAAACGCCAAACAGCTGCAGAAAGTAGTACTTTTAAGAGTAGTACTTTTATTTACTTTTTATTACTTTTGACTTTACTTTCGACTCTGGACATTATAGACCCTTTTGTTATAGGCGCAGTAGTTCTTGGAATTCATTCCGGTTAAATTTCCATGTACCAAGTTTTTTTTTATTAAAACTACAATTTTCTATCTGGCAGGGGTGCTAGATTGTAAGTAAGTGGAAGCACTAGCGCGCGAATTTTGCAATCAATGATCGACTATTTTTAACTGCAGGTGACTAATATCTTGTCAATAATTTTCTCAAATCTTTCCAATTAGCGATATTTTGCAACCTAGCTTATGTTGTACCTACGCAAAGAGAGTAATACTTATAAGAAGTTGCAGTCTTAATGGCATACCAGGTAGTAACCGCTGTATTATATTAATTTGAATTTAAGGCGAACTTTAAAAACCACAGCAGGTAACGTTTATTTGGTTCTAAACGTGGCTTTTATAGATATTTATATTTAGATAGATATCTAAGGCGTCATATTTACTAGCGTCATCTATTTAAAACCGGCTGCATTTTATTTGCACACCAAATAAAATCTTTTACAATAAAATACACCACAGTTCAAAATCACGCGATTTTAGCCAATATGCAAAAGTTTTTGGAAATTACAGCACGACGGATTCAGAGTAATCACTTATTAGGCATGCTTAATTATCAAAAAGAAAAGTTTAATTTCGTTGTTATAAAGGTTAACACCGAAAAAGCACACTACTAGGTTAAAACTAAAGACAATCTCTTTAAGCGGTTCACAGAAAGCCATCTAACTAGTTCAAGCTACTTGCAGATTACAAAATACAGACAACGACTGGGTCAAGGTTGTCATTACCCTTCTTTTACAGATTTAAATCGACAGCGGTGACGGTGACTTCGAACGTGAGAGCGTTAGCCGAGATATTTATGTTTTTACGGCGTGGCATAAACATGTGTCTATTAAGCCCTAACGGACCAGCAGACAAAGACTTTCCCAAAAGTTGGTGGCAAGAGCAGGAGTCACGACTACAATGGTCATTAAATTACAGACCCAAGTGGAAATGAAGGTCATTGACCATTATTAGTTCATGCAAAAGCTGCGCTTTAGTTTACCAAAATCACCTTGCCCATTTCAAATTACAATGCGGGATCTCAAGAAGTACATATGTATGTATGTACATACATATATGTATATATGTATATACATATACAAATATCAACGTGTATATGTTTATATATATATGTACATATGTGTATACTTATAATGACGCGTTTTGCCACTAATTATAAACGTAATAATGGCCAATTGGTGCACGAAATTCAACTAGCCTGGATTATGAAATAGAATAAGCACGTAAATAATTTAGGTTTGAGTTGCCTGTTCGCCTGTCCGCCTGTCCCTCTGTCTCCCTGCTTGCCAGCTTGTTTGTTCGACTCGACTGTCTTCCGCATCAACAGCTACTACGCTTGCGAATTTCGAAAATAAAACACTTGCGAGTAAATGGGGAATTTTTCTATTGTTCAATGCATTGTTTTGTGTTTATGTGTGCGTGTGTGTTTTTGCCGAAGATTTCGTTTTAAACACAGTGCTGCTTGGTATTTTAGGAAACAGGCAAATGCACCTGGAGAAAAGCTTAATTAGTCAACAAATAAACTGCCATATCTGCTCCAAAAAGTTTATGACGAAGATAAAACGTAGAGGTGAAGGAATTACCAAACTATATGGTTCTGATGGGTTACGTTTTTTTTTGTTGCAATTTTTTGAGGTATAAATATTTCCCTTATCGATTTTCTGTGTAAGAATGAAAACAAAATGAACGAATTTTAATCGGGCTTTTTATTCGTTACGCAATTTTTGCAAAAAATACTCTAAGGCTGTATAATTTGTCCATGATTTTTGATGAACTCCTGCATTTGCCTGAATTTTTTCCGCTATATAGCATATTTAGAGTTCTTTCTAGTATATTTCTGAAGATATATTTCTGAGGATATCTTTAACACTTACATGGTAATCGGTGAATGTTGTGGTGCAATCGGCTAAAAATGTTATCATAAACTTTATTCAGGTCCAAATCAAAATACGTTTTCACAGGACATCTCGGACTCGGATTAAAAATACCGAATTTTTTCAATAAATAAATCTGAAATTTCACAATGTTAATCGATATTGAGAAAGTGCCATTATTACCTTAAATAAGCTCCGCTATAAATAAGCATTTATGACCTCAAGATATACGTTTGCATACATATGTTAGTATGTATTTTCAATTTAAGCTAAAAAATAACCGGAATTACCGCAATTGATAAAAAAAGCATAGGCCGGAAATTTTCTAGACAAATTTTTAACTACCCAGTTTTTATATAATAATAGAGAGAGAAAATAAAGCACTTAATTAATTAATTAAGAATATTAAATAATAAGTAATAATAATACACGACGTATAACATAGCTAAATAGAATTGTATTTTTCGAATATAGATGCTTAAATTAATAAATATTTTTCTTGTATGCAAAATTTCCGTTGCTATATTTAACCTGGCTGGCTTTCCCTTACGAAATCAAATGCTCTTTTATTAATCAAAGGAATGCATATCTGTAAATGCGCAAATATTTAGATCATGTATCAACAGAAAGTTGAATAATTTTAGGAGTTATCGACTACATACCACGTACGAAATCGAAATATGAACCATGAACATGATTAGACACGGCCCCCCTTTAATGTAGACAAAGTATTTATTTTAAAGATTTACTTCTCTTGTTGTATTTTCGCATTTCAACTCACAAAAATCGAGGACTTGTTTGTTTTAAATTGATTTTCTTTAGTTTTAAAGCTCTTACAAGGTTTATTAAAGGTTTAAGTTTTTGGCTTGTTTTTAGATTTGTACGAAGCTGCAAACGGTCTCTTTAAAAGCTGTGAGTTTAGTGGCTAAGTTGTTTGGGTTTACGGGTTGGGTTTCTTCTCCACATACATACTATACTATACGAGCATGTGCTGGAATGCTGCTGGATTTTGCTTTTATTTAAATAAGTTGCTTCAATGTTATAAAAGCAATAGATGCAATTTGATTATTGAAAGACGCCTACTCTACTATTTATTTTGGCATTTTCGGAATAAAACCAAACTTAAAGAAATGTGAAGACTGGAGTTGGTGTTACTTGGCACTAATTGTTGAATAGTTTCAATAGCTCTGACTTGAATAATGATCAAGCTATTAATATATAATATAAATTGTCATTCAGGAAATAGGCCGTAGGCCTCAGTTTTATTATATTTAATTGGAATTTTATGTTAAGATTTAAAGTAACGAAAACAATATATTTGTAATCCATATACTTGTACTACACAAAATTTAAGATACTCATAAAGGATTAAATTTGTAATACATTTTTCCACTCGTTATATCGGCTTATGTGATTTGATTGGGAGCTCTACGGTTCAAGATTTAAGTCATGATCAGCATAGAGCCGCGGACATACCAATTGCACCCAGCAATAAACCATAGGGAGCGATTCGATCCTGCAGCCGATTCCCAAATCTGGATGCCGTATCTCCAGACTGGAGCAACAGCGTCATTATACACAGCCCTTTCGCAGTGAAAGGGAACAATTTTCTATCCTTGTATATATATACAAATAGAATGACATGATATCTATATCACTTGAAACCATACATATAATTTGATAATGTTGACAATGCACGAGTTAGCAGGTTATATTATATTTCACTACTACGATGTTTGAGCCAAAAACCAAACTAACTGAGCCAAACTAAAAACTCAAGCACACTTGCAACAGCACATCTAAATAACCTAAATTATAATATAAATATGCATATCAGTAGCACGCACAAACAAACAAACAAAATTAAAATGAAATGCAATTGTTTAACGTCAATTAAAATAAAATCAAATTTGTAACTTAAATTAAATTAAGCTGATTTAAATTGGAAATGAATATGTATGTATTGTAGTGACTAGCGTAATAGCTTAAAAGTAATCTGTTGCTTGTAACGCTAGGATAAGTTAATAAATAAATAAATAAAAAATAAATAAATAATCGCAATCCTATGTCTCATTGAAATATTGATTGAAATATTACCGAATCTTTTCGTACCTACGAGTATGTGTAGTCAGACTGATACTTTAATTCTATGCCCTTTATTTAATTGACGGATAGACGACATGCCTACATACATACAAGTATATCGAAAGATCCTCAAGGGACCCTCATACATATACGTACCAACACACACATATGTACATATGTATGTATGTATGTACATACTACATGGTATTTAAATGGTTGGCATGAAAAGATGAATCTGTTTTAATAACTCAAGTACTCCTGACACAAATAAAATGACCATAAATAGAGTGTAGGAAAAGCGCTACCCCTTATACAGTGAAAACTTAATGGGCACCTTTTTTAACCGGACACTCTCTTCTTGGCGGATACTTTTTCTAAAACATTCGATCGGTGTATAAAGTATTTGAGTATCCCCTTGGGCGGCCAAAAATTTACCGACTATGTCCGGCCAAGAGAGTTTTCACAACTACACAAAACTTCGTATGTAAATAAACAATATCTCTTTTTCTCTGGGTGTATGTTTTGATTTTAATGAGTGCGCGCTGATTGCACAAAATGCAACTACAAATAAAACTAGGCACACATATGTATGTGTGTGTGTGTGTGTGTGTTGTTGGTACGTCAAGTCACGCTTTTAACTCCTGCAATAACGCCAACGACCAACCAACTGAAGAAAATATTTTACTCAAGCGGCTGGAATTTCAAATTTGTGCAGTTCAGGCGTCTTCAGATTTGCCATAAAACTGCGAGTATTAGTGAGCCTCTAAAACGTACTTCAAATATATGCATAGCTACATACATACTTGTACAACTGTATTTGTGAATGTTCGGGTGTGTTTTTAAAATTTTTACAGCGTCACTTGTCTTCTTATCAAGTTAACGAACAATAGGAAATTCAACGCCTCGAAGATGACAAAAAAGCCAAAAGCTTTGTTATTGCTTACAAAAGCAACGATGACCATATAAATTCACCAAAAATTAATACCCAGGCATGGCACTCATGTAAATATGTGTGCGAGTATGCTCAAATATATATGTATCTATGTGTGTGTGTAAGCTCGTATGGTATTTGGATAAAAGGAAAAATGAAATTCATATGTAAAACATAAAATATAAAATAACAAACTACATATACTGCGAGTGTATGCGAACAATTGAAATGTACATTTTAACCTTCTCGCTACCCCATCACTCTGTTATGGCCACTTACCACACTCTGCAGCCTCAAGATGTCCATCATACTTAGTCGAGATGAATAAGACTAGAGTCAATAGCAAAAATGCAATAACCACTGCCTCTAACTAATGGGTTCATTTACATAATCAAAGCAACGATCAAATGCAAGGCTGCTGCCTAACTATATAGTGTAGTTGTATATACTTGTATGTATGCACGGGTGTGTATAAATATGGATTGATTACGGGCCTATCAGATATCCAAAGCAGCAAACGGAAGCTCTGTCAATGTCTGAGTAGCCATTATATAAATGAAAAACATAATCCAATATTTCGTTTCTCTCCTAATCAACAAAATTATTGAAATGCAGTAATTGGTGTCATAAAATCAAAGCCGCCGTTTGTAGGTAGCCCACGACATGGATATGGATATGTACATGGAATGGAAATGTAAGCCATTATTTTGCACATGTGGGTCTGTGTACCACTTCCTAGCCATTGTTTGTTACTGGAGGATAACGACCCGATTACCTTGTCTACACGGAGGCAGATGGAAGTGTGCAGACAAGCGAATGTGTTGCATTTGTAATGTTTACCTCATGCTCCTGCAGATTGTCCGTCCGTCCGTCCGTCCGCCCGTCTGTCCTATCCATCGAGCTGTCCCGGTGAAACAAGTTGTTCATATAATACCGTCCAACTTTTCATTACTAAGCCAAATCCACAACAATAACTACAACACGAAACACAACAACAACATCACGACAATCAAGCAGTTGCGAATGCGCACTCATAGTCGCAGACACAGCTCCGTCCCCGCGCCAGCCCCGGCCCGGCCCAAGCCACGGACCTAGTCTCGCAGTCGAAGTCGAAGTCGCATTCGCAGTCGGGTGAATGTATTGCGTTAGACCAATTTTTTGCTGTATATAAACGGAGTGCAGCGGCCACAACGAATCAGTACCAGCTTGGATCTCGTTATTGGCTTAACACACATTTTCGTGGAGTAATTGTTTTCCTCGTGCAACGTCTAGACCAGCAGCTCAACAATGCGAATGGTAATTTTCCTGAAACTGTTTCAACTCGAAGTGAAGTGGAGTTTTCGAATTTGGAGTTGTCGAGTTATTTTTGTTGTGCCAGTGAACAGGGGAACTGAAAACCAAAAACTAGTGCTAAACTGCTTTGTGCGATACATGACTAAAGCTGTCCATCCTCGCTATCATTATCCTTTGTAGTTCGTACTTCCTTGTCTCGCCATGTGCGTGGCAATGGCTCACTGTGCTGCCATCGCAGAGAAGGCCGCCGACGGCGACGCCAAGGCCGCCACAGCCTCCGCCACCGCCACCGACGACAGCAAGAATGTGGAAAAGCGGGGCTTGCACCTCGGGGACTATGGTCACCATCATCACCATCACGAACACATCAAGACTATCACAATTGAGAAGAAAGTACCCGTGCCTTATACTGTGATCAAACACGTACCCTACACGGTCGAAAAGAAGGTGAGTTCATGCTGAGGATCATCTGTGGGGAATGTATTTTCATACGACTCTGCGTCTATGGCCTACAGGTCCCCTATGAGGTGAAAGTGGATGTACCTCAGCCCTATTACGTGGAAAAGAAGGTTCCGGTCCATGTCAAGGAGTACGTCAAAGTCCCAGTGCATGTCCCTAAACCGTACACTGTTGAGAAGAAAGTGCCTTACGAAGTGAAAGTTCCGGTAGACAAGCCTTACGAAGTTAAGGTACCAGTACCACAGCCCTACGAAGTCATCAAGAAGGTAATAATAATAAACATATTTCCCCTAATTTCGATATTTTCGAAGTAATTGTGCGTAATCTTTTGCAAAATTACCAAAGCAAAATAATCAAAACTAATAGTGAAAGTGAGAAGTTGATTATTCCATAATATAATATATAATAACTAACTAATACCTATTCCATTTTACTTATGTCAGATTCCATATGAAGTTAAGGTGCCAGTGCCACAGCCCTACGAAGTCATCAAGAAGGTAATGATTTCCATAATAAATATTAATTCCTTAATAATAATTTTAAATAATATTCACACCAGGTCCCACATGAAGTTAAAGTAGAGGTCCCAGTTCCCAAGCCCTATGAAGTTATTAAAAAGGTATGTTTGTACAGACGTTGTGAAAAGAATAGCTATAACTAACTATGATAATGCCAGGTGCCGTATGAGGTTAAAGTGGAGGTAGAAAAACCATATCCCGTCGAAGTCCCTAAGCCTTACACTGTTGAGGTTGAAAAGCCATACACCGTTGTGGTGGAGAAAAAAGTACCGTACGAGGTTAAAGTACCAGTCGATAAGCCCTACAAAGTGGAGGTTTGTATACAACTCGAATATATGTCTACAGACATACGAACACGTCTGATCTGATATCTATATCTATTTGCAGGTTGAAAAGCCATATCCAGTGCATGTGAAAGTGCCAGTTCCCCAACCTTACACCGTAATTAGATTATACAATTTCTAACTCCGAATCCTATATTCATAGATTTCATTTATTTCAATATAGGTGGAGAAGAAAGTACCATACACAGTCGAGAAACCTGTTCCTTACGAAGTAAAAGTACCGATCGAGAAGCCCATCCCGGTCTATTCCGAGGTGAAGTTCCCGGTGCACAAGGAAATTCCAGTCCCAGAGAAATACCATGTTGAGGTGCCAATTTTCAAACATCACGAGCATTACGAACATCATGACCATCAAGACCAGCACGACTACCACGGACACTACTAGAGATTTGGTGGCAAAACCAGAAGTGGGACTCAAGAGTCCGCACAGAAGGCGAGTACAAGGACAGCAGTGTACAGTATCAGCAGCAGTAAGGATAATACGAACAAGGAGCATGAAGAAGCGAAGACAAATAAAGGTCTTCATACGCGTAGACGTTGAGCTGGACGTTGAGGGGGTTGCAAGAACGAGGAGCCTGAGCAGAGGGAGGAGTAGAACGCTTAATTGTAGACAAGGTAGCAGTCAGAGGACAAACTAGCTAGCTACTTTCCATGAGATCTTGTAGGATCTACAACCCGACAATCTGGTTGATGGATCTTACATAAACTTTAAGCCAAATGTGTTAATACTTTTATTGTATTTGTATCATTGTGTTAGTTATAAGATGTCGTATATTTAAATTATAAGCCAATGAAACACTAACTAATTGCATTTACTTATATTGGAAGAAGACGGGGTGGGCTGTGGGTAGCGGAGACGATCTTCTGCGGCAGTGAAAGTGAAATGAAAATCGCCGAACCGCAAACGACCAAGGCAACCGACCAACTAACTAACTAGTCGTATTGCCAATGCTGCAACGTAATACTTTCGTGCCGCCACCGAATATGAAAATGAAAATGTGGCCGACAGAAACCAGTTGAAGATAATGCTGAAGTTGATGTTGCTGCTACATATACGAGTGTTCATATATACATACATACATACATACAAATGCATGTACATTCGAGTACATACTTGTGCCGTATGCAATTTTTAGCTCGCCATGAGGTCCGCCTCTGTATTCTCGGCCTGTCCATTATGCAAGTGAGGCTCGCGATTGGCGGTTGCATCACGACTAATTGCAGGAAATGGCCACACTCACTCACACCTCGGTCGGACTCACTAACTGACTGCCTGACTGACTGTTTGACTGACTGACTGATTGACTGACTGCCTGACTAAGACGGTATGGCTGGCACACAAACAGAGCTTGCGGCTCATTGCGAATTTTGCGCAACTTTTGTTTATATTAATGTGCTGCTGCTGCTGCTTGCCGACTGTCATAAAACGTTCAAAAATTTACCAAATTTACAAACACACACACACACACACACTCACACTTACATAAATCTATTGCCAACAAATCGTATGCCACTTACTTGTATTTTTCTTGGCTTCATTGCAATCGAAACGCAACCAAAATATGTACACATGCGAAGCATTTAAACAAAACAAACCCAGCCGTATTATAGTAAGTATATGTACATATATATGTATATATACATCTGAAACTTCAGTCATCGTGGTGACCTAAATTAGGCAAATGGTAACGCTACTTGTCGCCACAGAAACTAAAACCGTTCGCCGGCATCTCAAATAACACTAAAATTGCTCCATATGGAATCATTTACAATAAAGTGTAGCATATTTGAAAGGCGTGGGAAGGGATTGGGCTCTTACCGCTGGCACAAGGGCATTTTCCCGTAGAATCAGAGGACTTACTCCTGATTGACTTACTGCGATGCTGTCTCACCGAAAATTGTAATATAGATCAGACATCCGGACCTTCGCAAGAATAGAGCAATGTAAAAGACTCTACACTTAGAAAAATGTATATGTACTCCTCTATGTAATTGGTTTCAGACAAAAAGCGTGTAAAAACCGTGTCCAAAAAGACATCGCAAAATTAGGTGATTGGTTCCTTATCTCTAAAACCTATTAAAATCAGGGAAAAAACTAGGATTTATGTTATACATATACATATTCTTATAATGTGCATAACGACCCATATAAGAATGGTTTCTAGCTGTTTGTCAGCTGTGTATGTTTTTATTTATTTATTTTGTGTTATATTGAATATATGTATAAAAGCTTTAATTTTCAAACCGTGTAAAACAGAATTGGGTGTATTTTTATTCCAGAACACCACCCCACACATACAAAATATTTCATAATTGGGACATTACAGCACTATTCCAAATTTTTAAAATGAATTCCTAATGATTTATTAGAAAACCGATACAAGCCATCCGATTACCATATACATGAATGTACAAAAATATTATTAATGTGTATACATATACATACATACATAAGTTTGCACATAAGTATGTATTTTCTGAAGTTTATAAACTATTAGTTAGCTCCTGCAAACAGTTTATTTGTCAAAACCAGATGGACCAAAATCTTCATAATCAAAGAAAATATACTACAATCCAATTTAATATATTGAGAAGTTTAATGGTATTATCTCGGCACTAACTAATATTTTATACGAATGATGCACAAACTACATATATGTACATATATGTACGTGTGCAAATTGATATAATCTTTTTGATTATTCGTGCAAAAATTAAATACACTGCAAGCAAGAAACCAACAACATACATACATATGTGTGTATTTCTGCATGTATGCATGTGTGTGTATGAAAGTCTAGTAACCTCATTTTGGCAAATTGTAACGGTTCACGTAGTCGCAGCAACTGTAACTTTAACCATGCAGGCAAACGAAGGCAGCTCAAATAACAGTCATATGTATTTGGTTAATTTCGAAACGCTCACAATAGACCACAATATCACATTTGAGAGGCTTGGAGCATTTTATCTGAAATCGAAAGTAAAACTGTTGCAATAATTAGTAATTGTGTGATTGTGAACAGAAAACAGAAAGTGAACTGTCTTTGATATTTGATATTAAATTTTGCGCGCCACTTAAAACGAGACGCCCTGTGCCATGACTATTCACAGTGGGTTGTTTTTATATTTCTTTGTCAGCCCTGGCAAATCAGCTGTACGCAAACAAAACGACGCTCATGAAATAGCCTTTGTGTGTAAAAATAGTTATCAACTACTAAATAGCTGTGTTTACGAAATGGCCGATGATCCAGAAAACTCTGTGGACAAGCCTGACGATAACGATGCTGGCAAACCGGAGAAAATGTTTACGCTTAAGAAGTGGAATGCCGTTGCAATGTGGAGTTGGGATGTCGAATGTGATATTTGTGCTATTTGCCGAGTCCAGGTTATGGGTAAGATTTTATTGTACCAAATACACGAGATTTGTTAATAAAAATATAAAGTTTAAAGACCAGTCCCAATTACAAACCATTGTCTATGTAATGGGTAAGCAACATGAATATAGAAAAGATCAAAAAACGGACTTCTGGAATATATACTATTAAAGTCAACGACCAATTCAATCATTCCACACAGACTAAATGTACATTATCCATTAACACTACTACTACTGGGCCAAGCACAAGAACATCTTCGAGTCTTAGGGTTCTACAATACTTTTTCCTAGCATCATCATTCTTAGGCATGACATGCAAGAATTGGGTTTCTGATAGGGCATGGTTGAGTGTGAGGAGCTTCTTGGTCTTTCATATGGTTTAATTGGAACAAGAAAGGAATGCTAAAGTCGAGCAGGCTCAACTCTTAAATACCCTGTACCACCCCACAAAAAAGTAATTAAATTAATTAATTAATTTAATTTAATTAATTAACTAAATTAATTTAATTAATTAACTAAATATTAACTAATTAAATATAAAATATTCCATGCATGCATACATACATTTACAATTACATCAGAATCGTGTCTATGCGTGTTTGTGTACTTGTACATATGTATGTATGTGTGCATTGAGCCTGGTTATATGGCTATAACTTTCTTTCCGATCATTCTATCATAATGAGACTTGGTATACGGTTATATAATTACTAACCTAATGTGACTACCAAATTTTAGTTCAAAATTCCAAGAATTACGGGAGTTATAGAAAATCGTTAATAGGGGGGGAGTGGGGGGGTGGATCAGAAAAAATGAACAAACTCGTCCTTTCTCGGTCTCAGGAGAATCTGTATACCAAGTTTGGTTATTCTAGCTCTTATACTTTCGGAGATCCTTGCGTTCATACAGACAGACAGACGGACAGACGGACAGACGGACATGGCTATATCGACTCGGCTTGTCATGCTGATCTAGAATATATATACTTTGTGGGGTCTACCAAGCCTCCTTCTGTGTGTTCCATGTGCACTCGCACTAAACTAATATACCCTTGTACCCTTTGGGTACAGGGTATAAAAATGTTGGAGGTGTGTAACATTTAAATATAGATAGTTTTTGTAATTGATGTTAATGGTTGATACGACAGATTAGCAATCTGCAAATATGCTTATCTCGTCTAGTTTAAAAATGGGTTGAGCTCCGAATGTGTGAACAACAAAAACAGATTAAGAAAACCTTATAATTACCACGCTTTACATCATTATTACCATAATTTTCATCATTGCTCGCTCAACTGGGCGAAAACTTTTTGCTATATGTACTTGGTTTTAAATGGGATAATTTATGCAGACGTCGACAGAGTAACAATAGCAACAACAATAAAGCAGATAAACAAATGAACTGCTTTAATCAATCTATGTATGCTGCTCGTATAACTTATTAAATCTTAAGTAAATCTTACTATGAACAATTAATACTGATTTTTCGTTTTTTCGGTTGACAAAGAATCAAATAGAATAGCTCCTAAGTTTCGCTATGTATGTACGTATATTTCAGTTGAAGGTTTTGTATTGGTTCTAATATATTCTTTAAATTTATTCCTGATGCGGTGCATTCATGATCCTCGTAGATTCTGCTAAAACAAATACACAAACCCCATATATTTTCTTCCCTCCGCCACAGTCGTTAAACTAAAACTTAATTGCACCAAGTTTTGTGATACTTATGTTATATGTTTGCATGTAGCTATAACATGAAATATGAAACACCTGCGTTTAATTGGAATTTCTAGCATACCTTTTGAGCATTTGGGTACAGGGTTTAAAAAAGTTATTTGGTGCGAAAAGCATTGGTTACAGCAGCGTTAGAGTAAACTGTAGAATTCCTTGATTCTGGTACGCTTCTTTTGATTCTAAGAATATGGGTTAAGGGTTTTTACTACCGTTGCTAACATGTTTCCGAACTATGTTTTTACAAGTCCAGAACCGTCTACTTCACATTCAGCTTCGGTTTCGTAATACCACCACAAAAGCTCTAAAAATATGGAGATTTATATGGACGTAAATAAGTAATACTGTTACTGTAAGTCGGCCCATTACTTACTGTAATAGCCATTAAAGACTCTCCCATGTATCGGAGGCATAACATCATTTGAAAATTGATTGATGCAAGTCGCAGTTAATTTAGCGCTAAATTAAATAGAAATTAAAATCGCTGTTTTGTCAGCGTTTTTGCCCGATTTTTAGTCGTCTGTGTGATGGAAATCCGTTTTGTTTATTTGATTTTGTAATGCCTGTCCGATAAGCCACGACTACGCCTGCATCGCATCTGCTGTCTGTCAACAACGAAATATTTGTAGAAATGTAATGCGACTATTTTTATATAATACTGGCAATAGAGCAACTGATTAGATTTCTATTTTTATAAGCACATAAGCATTGGAATGGGAAACAGTGCTCAATTTTCAGAGCCTATTTCAAATAAAACTCACGTATCATCGATGACCTTGAATAACAGTAGATGCATTTGCAAGGTCTTATGCAAATTGAACATGTGATTGCCAGTTGATTTGGGTTTGCATTTGATGAATATCTTTATCGAATAATTATTCCATAGCCATTCAAATCCGCGCAGTCAACGTCGTGTGAAAATAAAACACAATATCGTTCTTTATAATTTATATTATTTTATGCATACTCGGATTTTGATGCAGCTATGCAGTTTCTCTTTTCATAGTTTTTATACCCTGTACCCAAAAGGGTACAAGGGTATATTAGTTTTGTGCGAGTGCACATGGAACACACAGAAGGAGGCTTGGTAGACCCCACAAAGTATATATATTCTTGATCAGCATGACAAGCCGAGTCGATATAGCCATGTCCGTCTGTCCGTCTGTCCGTCTGTCTGTCCGTCTGTCCGTCTGTCTGTCTGTATGAACGCAAGGATCTCCGAAAGTATAAGAGCTAGAATAACCAAACTTGGTATACAGATTCTCCTGAGACCGAGAAAGGACGAGTTTGTTCATTTTTTCTGATCCACCCCCCCACTCCCCCCCTATTACCGATTTTCTATAACTTCCGTAATTCTTGGAATTTTGAACTAAAATTTGGTAGTCACATTAGGTTAGTTATTATATAACCGTATACCAAGTCTCATTATGATAGAATGATCGGAAAGAAAGTTATAGCCATATAACCAGGCCCAATGCACACATACATACATATGTACAAGTACACAAACACGCATAAGGCACGATTCTGATGTAAATGTAAATGTATGTATGCATGCATGGAATATTTTATATTTAATTTAGTTAATTAATTAAATTAATTTAGTTAATTAATTAAATTTAATTAATTAATTAATTTAATTACTTTTTTGTGGGGTGGTACAGGGTATTTAAGAGTTGAGCCTGCTCGACTTTAGCATTCCTTTCTTGTTTCTATATTCGAATAGCCAATAGTTTGGATTTCTTAGAGTGTAAACATGTAATTTTTCTACATTGATAAATTCATCATCATCATCATGTCAAATGTCAACAAATTAGTGCTAAAATCATAATTTACATAATAAAACTATGTACTTAATGATACAATTAATAACAATATATAATAATTACATACATAAAAATATAAAGGAAATTCTTGTCGCTAAACATTACGAGTTAGCTGGACTAACAATATCAGCATCTTAGCCACGACTTCGACATCTTTCCAAATCTTAGAGACGGAAACGTAATTGAACTTTGGAAGGAGTTCGCAAAGACCTCGGCGCTGGCCATATAATCATCTAAAGGATGTCCTGCGTATTTTATTATACGACTTAAGCACTAGAGCACTAATCTAATATTTGGTTTTTGATCGGATACGATGACCACGTTGTTTACATGTTAAAGGACAAGGGCTTAATGTTGGCCACCGAGGACATGCGACGCACACGTCCCATCATCTTGCGCTCGATATCCTCCAGCGTCTTGCCCTGTGTCTCGGGCACATAGAATATCACAAAGAAGAGGCCAATGAAACAAATGGCACCGAACAGCCAGAATGCACCTGCAGCACCCATAAAATCTGTAGAAACAGAACCAATGAGCGGATTAGTGGTAATTCTGATTAGTGTCGTCCTGAGAACTTACCAATCATATCCTGGAACGTTTTGGTGACCACAAAAGTGCAGCTCCAGTTAAAGGCGGTGGCAACAGAAGCAGCCGAACCACGTATTCTGGCAGGCAAAATCTCGCCCATCATCAGCCAGGGTATGGGTCCGAAGCCCAGGGAGAAGCCCAATATGTAAACCACAAAGCAGGAGAGTGGCAACCAACCCACATTCGAAATATCCATGCCACTGTCCTTGCAATAAAAGAAGCCACCCAGTATGAAAAGAGTAATGACCATCGCCACATCCGAGATATACAGTAAAATCTGCGAAAACGCAAAAATGGCATTGGTTTAGAGATCTGAAAGGTATTAACAGGTTGTCAGACTCACCTTTCGGCCCAGACGATCAATCAGAATCGTTGCAATAAAGGTGGCTATGAAGTTGACCACACCAACAATAATGGTGCACACATTGCCATCAATGGTAGAGCCGGCATCTTTGAAAATGGACACTGTGTAGAAAATAACCGCGTTAATGCCGCTGAGTTGCTGGAAGAACATCAGACCCAGAGAGATGGACAATGGCTTGAGATTACTGCGCTTTAGCAGCTCCAGCATCGTGTTCTGCGTCATCTGGCGATCGGCATCGGCCTGAGAACGCATCAGACCCTTTAGCTCCGGCTCCACATCAGCCTCTTTACCGCGCAGCCAGTGTAGTGCCTTGCGTGCCCGTTCTTCGCGGCCGCGGGACACATACCAGCGTGGGGTTTCGGGAATGAGGAACATCAATATCAGGAACGGCACAGGCAAAGCGCCACCCAGGAAGGCCAGCATGGACCAATCCATGTAAGTGCCCGCCACAAAGCAAAGAAGAATGCCAATGTTACCGAAGGCAGTGGGCAAGAGACCTAGCGTGCCGCGAACTTCCGGCTGCACGGTCTCACCCAGATAGACGGGCAACGACAGCGAAGCAATACCAACACAGAATCCGGCTAAGAAACGACCGCAGAGGACCATGGCCACATTGACAGCACAGGCAATCAATAGCCAGGAGATGATGAAGGGCACAGCGGTAGCCAGAATGGTGTTGCGACGTCCCAGGTATTCAATGAATGGTCCACCAGAGATACCGCCGGCCAAGCCTGCCAACGGCATGATGCCACCAACCCAGGAGGCCTAAAATCAGAAATGAATAATGAAACAATATTAGTAATTTAGATGAGATACCAGAAGAAATCATTAGCTCCAGTTCATATCCTCAAAATACGATTATGTTTTCCTGTTCTCTGTCTGTGCTTTTGATGAAAAGTTGTCAGCACTTGGTACAAACAAAGTGAAACCGAGCCTTAAAAATACTGGCACGAAATACTTAGAAGTGTTCTGAATTATTACACCCTGTACTCAATGGGTAAAAGGGTATGTTTCTTTAATACAAAGTATGTATGTATATTCTTCACATATTCAGATTCTTCTGAGTTTGAGATTCTCATTCTCGCTACTACTGATATTTTCATTACTCCCGAAATTCTTGGAATGGTTTTGACAATTACATTCAGTTAGTGCCTATGTGTTCTCATAAGTTGCATCGTAAGATGTAGCTCAAGGAAGTTATCTCTGGTCGTGCTCTGCCTGTAGTTGTTGCTGTCACGGCTCAACTCTGCGATGCACACAAAGACGCGCACAAACATGCATAACTACGCGTAGACAGAAATAGACCCACAATAACACAATGCCGATGTATACTTTTCTGTTTGTTTGAGGGAGTCGGTACAGGGTTTACGAGAGCTAATCCAGCTCTACTCTAGCAGTCCATTCTTGTTTTTCTTTTCAATATCTGACTGAATCGAATCTTTAAATAGGCTTCCGAATATCGGAGAGTGTTCATGTCAGGCGAGTTATTCGAGAATTGCTGTTGAAGCATTTCGGAAAGTCGACTGCAAAACTACAGCGCCAATAAAATGAAAACGTGCCGGAATGGCTACCGTTTTATAATTGCAAAACGTAAAGCTATTTCGGAAATTTAACCACTAGAATAGTTTTTCTAGATATGCGAACTATTATTAATGAAATCTTAAACTGTGTGTGTTTTTTTTTTTTTTGTAACTTACCGCTTGCGGGGTGACCTCAAATGATGTCAGAGTCGTGTTTGTCATGGAGACCAGTGCGGGTGAGGTGTAGGCCGAGGAGAAGCCCACAGTTAATGAGCCAAGGGAGACACTTAGTGCGGCCAGAACCTGTAACGATGCAAGGAAATACAAAAGATTTTAATTTCAGTGTAGAGGCATGGGGATTTCCTTTTGAGGTCCACCTGTGAGAATGTGCACTTGGCCTTGGGCTCGTCGACAGGCACCGAAAAGGACACATGAGTGTCCGCGCGCATTAGTATCTTCATTCTGTGCGCAAAACCTAAATAGGCCCCTCTGGAGAAAAGCTTGATTTTGAACTAGCAGGTGTTCCTGTTGATGTCGCTGTCGCTGTTGCTGTCTCTGTTGCTGTCTCTGTTGCTGATGCTGTTGCTGTTACTATTGCAGCTGCAACCTTGTTGCCGCTGACCTTGGCTACTTTTTCACTTTTACAAAACGTTTTGTCGCGCTACTATTTGTTAGCGGGTTGCCTTTTTGGCGTTCTAAGCGTAATGCACTGGTTACGCGTCCGGAACTGAAACTGAACTGAAAGTTGACATTTTTCGAATTCAATGCATTGCCGTTAGTTTTGAGAAAAGTTTGAATTGCATTTGTCTCAGGCACGTACAAATCGTATGCTCGGGTTTTGCATACAAAAATAGTACGTAGCGCACTTATCACTATTTCGAATATAAGTACATAGTACTACAAGTATGTATATAAGTAGCATATGTGCATTGAGCGCATTGCATTTCAATAAATGCTATTGGCGCATCTTCTCGATCTCACAATGGTCGATCCGATCTCTGGCCAGCCAAAGTAAAGTACAGTAAACTTTTATTTATAATACATACATATGTATGTATGTATAAATAATTGATAATAAGCTGCTGGCGTTATCACGCTGTTTACGTGTGCTAAGCCACCGATTAAGTCGAGTCAAGATTATGAACTCTCCAAGACTGTGCGCTGGGATTTTTTGCGCCGACCGCAGTCGGTTAGAGGCGGTTTCAGCAACTTGTGCGTCCAGTCTGCAATGTCCAACTGAAGTGGAAGACCTGTTGGCCAGCTGGAGAAGTGTCGATGCATCGCATTTGAGTTGCCTTCTGCCAGTGCCATTATTCAAACATTGATTCATGCTCTTTGGTCAGCCGGCGTTGGCTCCACATCCACACATTTATCGGATTTCGTATTTTTAGTCTTCTTCTTCATAACTAACTGCGTTATATTCACTTTAAATTAATGTGAACTGTGGCGAGGACAGGTCGCATTATTCACACCAATCTTCTGCGTGCGAAAATAGTGCCCCCCCGCCCCCCTAAGACCCTGAGCCCCAAGCCCCATGCCCCATGCCCAAAAGCCTCCAAAGCCCACTCAAATGGGAACGGCCGCTATATGCGCATATATGTGTACATATAAATTGCTCAAAGAATGCCTTATGGCTTATTAATCCCATTCATATCCATTCGCTTAGACGCCAGGCCACTTAACGAGCGGACAATGGATTGTCCCACTATAAATACGCATAAAATAGCCCGCACATGTCTATAGTTAGTAGTGGGCGAGCGCGTGTGCTGGCGCTTGTGACCTACCTGTGTCCATATATAGATTGGATTCGTTGTGGGCCTGTAGACCTCCAACTTAGGTTTGCCATCTTCGGTGATTTGGCGCACAAAGGGCACAGCATGGCGGATGTTCTCCCCGCGTTTCTCATCCATTTCGTTTCTACGACTGTAAATTGGGGTTCAATGTTAGCTTTTGTTGTGACTGTACTTGTTCATAGTTAATGCTCTCATTACTCACCTCTTGCGGGAATCTGTGCTAATGGAGCGCTGCTGCTGAAAGTGTTGTCGCGATGTGAAGAAATCTTCGTCACTCTCGCTCTCCAAGTCCTTCAGATCGATGATGACTGGCTTGGTTATGTCTTTCGGGCGATGTATCAGGCGTTTGTGCTCAGCATCGTCGCCTTCCTCGTCACTATCAGTGCTGGAACCCTGTAATACTTTGTCGAGCTTGAAAGTGACCCGTGGGTCAAGACTTTGATGCTTCCGACCCTGAAACTCGCGGCGGGTCTTATGGAATTCCTCCTCGGATGAGGACTCTTTGAGCAAATCCTGCAAGAAACGTGTACCCTTAATGTCCAGCGAGACGTGTTTTTTGGCCTGGAACTGTCGACGGTTGTCGTTGGCCAATATATGCTTCAGATCCTTGAGGATGCCCTTGTGGTCGACACTGGTGGCCTTTTGCTGCTGGAACCCAATTCGTTTGTCCTCAAAGCTATCGTCGTCGCTACTATCGGCTCCAGGCGCCTTCGGCCGTTTCTCAAACGAGACGCGTGAGCCCTTTAGGGACTGTTTGCTGCGCTGCAAATCCTCACCAGCCACAGACACGACGCTGCGCTGCTGACGATCGCGATGTGGCTCTAGGGAAGTGGGTGGTGGTGGCAGGGGGGTGAGCTCCAAACTGCCACTGGCACGCAATGGTGAGCGCTGTGCGGTGGTGCTTAGTTGTGGTGGTTCGTTGATGTCGTCGTCCTCGAGTAGGGGACGAAAAGAAAGCGGTGGCTCGTCGTCGTGCAACAAGCGTATGGGGCTGCGCTGACGTTGTTGTTGCTGTTGTTGTTGCGGTGGTTGTAACTGTTGCTGCTGCTGTGGGTGGTGGTGCTGTGGTGCTGCTTGTGGAAACAGAAACGGATCCTCCGGCAGTATTGTGTCCAAGCTTGTGGCGGTGTTCGATGTGGACAAGCTGCTCTCCACGCGTTGATAGCCCAGTCCCAGCTCTTCCTGCGTGTTCAAAAATTCGATTAGACTCTTACTCGAATGCAAATACTATAAAATTCTTTGGATGTTCGAGGCGCTGTCACGCGTTTCACAGACACTTGCGAATTAAAAAATTATGCTCGAGCTTTGTTTTAAATACTTGGATGTTGACTTCAATACATAAATGCTGATTACAAAATATTCGCCTTGTTCTTGAACGCTCAGAGTGTTGGAAACGAAATCTTATCAGTCCAGAGTTTAACAAAGCCATCTTAATATTTAGAAGAGACAGTACCATGTTGCACGGTTAGTTCAATAAATTAGTAGGGTTTTTTTTTGAGATTGTACGTTGTGTGATTAAGAACTTTGCAATGATATTTCATAGCGAAGTATGGAGAATGGAGAAACATTTCTAAATACCTTATTTCGGGAATTAAATTCAAACGGTTTTGAGTCAAAGCTGGCTTAGTTCCTATATCTTTTAAGGTGATTGCAAAGACAGGCTTAAGATTTTTCAGTTCTGCTTAGATACAAATTAAATTAAATTATTATCAATTTGCGAAAAACACCACAACTCAATCCCTTTGTTGCTTTAATCCAAAATCGAAAGCTTTTTATAGTGCAACAATATCCTTTAATACCTTATCGATACCTGAAAAGTCTTGAGATAGCACCATAACTAATTAATCTCCTAATAAATGTATTTGAATAGAAAAAATTATCCATATCCATAAAAGCAATTGTAATGCTAATTATAATTAACAATTTTAAATTAGTCTGGTCAGAAAATGTTGTTGAAAATTTGAAATTTTTTCTTTTTGGCTCAGTGTAATTCTAATTAATTATAATTGGTTGTTGTTAATAAGTGCATATTAATTTGTATGTATTTGTGTAGAATATTACCCGGAGGTCTTATCTAACACACACATACGTAATTCATTCATGTCGGATGGTCACATATAAAGTAAAAATATAATTAACAATTTCAAATTAGTCTGGTCAGAAAATGTTGTTGAAATTATTATAATTAATAATTAAGTTTTTGTTAATATGTGCATATTAATTTATATGTATAGAGAATATTACCGGGAGGTCTTATCTAACACGCACATACGTAATTCATTCATTTCGGATGAACACCGACGTTGTTAGCTTGAATTCTGTTCAACCGCAAGTTGTCTGTGAAGACGTGGCATCGAATCCATTATTACTACCATAAACTAACTAACATTATCTTTCGATGTACTTACACCTGCCCGCGTTAATTTGTCCTTGATTTTTCCCATGGCGCTGCTCAACGGCTGGTGGTGATGACCGCCGCCGCCGCCACCGCGATTGTCACGTCCATTCATCTTATCAGCTTTTTATTGAACTTGAACTTTTGTCTTTCCTTGGGAACTCTTTCTGTTTGCAGGCAATACGTAGCACTTCTGTATTGTGTTTAAATGTATTCAATTATTTTGTTGTCTTTGCTGCAAGTAAAGAGGGAAAAGTAAAATTGTAAGTTATTTATTATTGCTAAGAACTAGCAGCACAGTAGCTCCAAATTGTTATTTTATCTTCTGGGAATCGTCAGTCTTACTCAGAAAATCGTTACGTGACGCATGTGACGATTGTCTGCCTGCACTTTCTCGGGTGCTGAAGAACCGCCTGAGCTGTCTGGGCTTTATCTTATCTAGATTCATGTGTTTGATTTTGATAGGCCGGCCCCCTAAAAACCCGTAACACACCCACCTTCAGTGTGTTTACACTAAGTATATACATATGTTTATAAATATATTTATGTGTTGTGTACAGTTTTGACTTTTGAACTAAGTTCGCACACGCAATTTACTAAAATTAACTAATGCGTCTTTCATATGAGTATTGGCCAACTTATACTTATATCATAGAAATGATCTCTTCTGTCCCGCCTTTATTGAAAGCGATGCCAAAACCCGCGTCAAGTAAAAAATGTGTTAGCATTTCTTTTTTTGACCTTCCGAATTTCCACATGAATTTTTTGTCTGCTTCAAAGCGTTGTTTGTTTTTTGTTTGAAAATGTTATATTTATTAGCTGATATAATATAGTGCCAATTTTTGTATTTTCGAAAAGCATGAAACTAAAAGAAAAATGCGCCGAACCAAAAATATTTGTTTGGCACATCGAAGCATGAATACTCTTTCAAACAATCATCGTGACGATCACATATGTATGTACAAGTATGTATGTGAAGTTAAATCGAGGCTATTTTTTGATTAAAACTGTACAGTTGTTTTTTCAAATTAGTCATGGAGTAGTGAAGAATGTTCTCTGCTTCAGTACCAGCCTTAGACCATCTTCAGAATACCCCTCAGCTAGAGTATAAAAAGAGCGAACACCACACTCGTTCATAAGGAATTTTTCGCCCATTTAATGTGTTTGTTGTTGCTTTCTTTTTGCGACTCCTGCGTCATGTGATAGTCGAAGATGCGTGGGCGCCATGACGTCGTCGCCTTGTTGGCTGCTTTTTTTCGATTGTTTTTTTTTTTTTTTTTTGCGCACATTTAAATGTGTCGGATTGAATGTGTGAAGCGCTGGGCAGGCTGAGCGCTATCAATAGCATAATAATTGGTCTGCCCTAAATGCACGTTGATAGCGGATGAAAAATAAACATCACAGTTTAGACTTAGCAGGTATACTAATAAAATGGATTGTGGGCTGAAGCTAAATTAGACAAATGACTGCCTCTGGCTTACAGTTTCTATTTTCTTATGACGCTGAGCTTTGTACGGACTGTGTCTGGTAAACGGACAATGTAAAGTGTCATATTTATGGCACCACTAAACGTGTCTAGCCGAAATGGTGCACTTGGCGTTCTAAAACGCAATTACAAAATTTGATTATGATTTTGCAAATGCCGCGGCCTTGACAATATGCATATGTATGTACATACATATTTTTGGATGTACATACATATATGTTCCGATGTATCTATCTACATTTAATTGTGTGATAGTTGAAGCTATGGCGTGCTTGCTTATCGTTGGACGCGTGAATCATAGCAAATATTTTCAGGCCATTTTCTTGTTGTTGTTGCTCGCACCTTGCGCAAAGTGAGTGGCACAGATTGATCTATACATACATACATACATACATACGTACATAAATGTACTCATATTTTGCAGTACAACAATTTCACGGTACACATATGCGTACATACATACATACATCCATGAAAACATTTAGTGCTGTTGCCACCTCAACACCCACGCTCTTAAGTGCAGTTCGCGCTCTTACAGAAGAGCGAGACGGGAAGAGCATTTACAACGTGCTCACGTGCCGACGATTCACACACACACACACACACACTGCTGCAATTTCTGCTGCGGCTTTTGCTCATTTGTCAACAGTGCAACGTTGCGATTTTTGGTGGTGATCTTTCGACTTTTATTTTTAACATTCGGAGCAAATATTGTTATTTTTTAATTAACAAAGACGAGCGACGTTGACGGCTCGTAAGATAAATTAATTTTAGTACTTGTTATTACCGTGCCTTCTGTATTTTAGCTTGCCTCAATAAACTGTGCCCACGTAAGTTCCCAAAAGAAATGACGTTTTCACTTTTGTCAGACGACTATTAAAAGCAATTATATACAAATATAGTATGTACTATATATTCGTACACATAGGTTTTTGCAACCAAATTACTAAATTTGTTGTCTCTGTTCGCGAGAATTTTTTTTGCGTGTGCCGCCAAAAAGAAAAGTTATGCAGTCGACTGTGTACGATAAAAATAATTCTAAATTTAAGAATTTTCACGGTCGTGTATCGTTTTGAAGAGCTTTTCGACTGTTCTTGCATTGCATTTTCTTTGTCGTTGCACCCTTGACGAAATTGTTGTTTGTTTCTTTTGTTTTCCTACAACTAAATTTTTGCACAGCCACATTACGTAAAACGTTTTCAAACACAAAAACCTGAGCAAGTCCAGCCAAGTTCATTAAATAGTTTATAGTTTATAAATAATTGTTTACTGATTGACGCACACACTGACTCACACACACTAACTCATTTGCCATAAGTTAAGTTCCAGAAATGCGCATAAATTTGCATCCTAATTTTGCATATGCAGACTTCTTTGGCTTTGGCAACAAAAGCAAAAATATTTATACGATTAGCAGACCAGACGGCCAGACACTCCAGAGACTTGATTTGATTTGAAGGTTTTGCATAAATTTTCTTATTTTAGAAACAAATGATAAAACACGCGACGCTCGATAAAACTTGATAACATTACAACCGGAACTTGTAGCGCGTTTAAGAAACCAAAAGAAAATCAGAATAAAAACACCATACAAATGTTAACAAAAATTCGTTTGAGTATTAGTTCAAAATTTCGTTGTGGTTCAGCAATGGTGCGAAAGAATTTCTCGTATATATTTCATTTTTGACTTTAATTTATTCGTTGATTATTACCTTTTAACAAACTACTAAATGTGATATCCACTATTGTGGCACTGAAGCACGAGATTCAAATGCGCAACGTTTTTATAGCGCGCGCCGCGAAACTCAGATAAACTCGTTCGAGCTTTTTACACACCGTAATACCCAGTGTCGCTCTCTCTCTCTCTCTCTTCCAATGTGAGAACCGTTTGTTTGCTTGTGTGAGTGAGTGGAGCTCCACTTTGGCGTCGTTGAGAGCAAGAACAAGGAAAGCAGGCAGCTAGCCAGACAGTTGGCTAACTGCTCGCAGCATTTGCTGTTGATGCAGTCGTCTGTTTTGTTCTTTTATCTCAGCCATAGCGCGAAGGTCGAAAAAAAGGCATGAATGAAATGGCCGCTATTTGACTGCTTCGTGTGCGGCTGTATGGGGGTGATGACGACACTATCTAGAACACTGTATAGTACGCCAGTGAGGTCCAATTCAAAGAGGTGTGGAACGTACGCCGGCGCGACGATTGTAAGTCAAAATTGACAACTGTTTTGGCCGTTTCTTCGTTTGGCCGTAACACGAGCCGTATACGAGATTTTTGTTTTTTTTTTTTTGATGCTACTGCCTTATGACGCATTTTTGAGCAGCTTTATTGTCATTTCTTGGTCACTCCATGCGACCACTGCCTCTGCATAACAATATTTTTTATTGATTTGTTTTGGCGGCTGCTGTCGTCTTTATGCTCTAATAACTAATTGTTTTGCTTTGTCTGTGTACGTGTGCCAATTGATTTTTATTTACACATACTTCCAATTAAAAATTATTAACTTGACTTTGACGCGTGCAAAATTTAAGAAAAAAGTTCAGATCTCGGAGAGCCTTGAACCGCATTTATAAATTTCTTTATATCTGGGGCATACTTGTACTTGTACTTGTAGGGAAACAATTTTATAAATAATGACACAAATAAAAACCAATGAATAACAATTTGAGAGCACAACCGGCTGGGGGCTCGTCATTGAATTGCCAAACTTTGGACAAGCAATTGGCTCTCCCGCATGATGAAATTTCAAATTTTAAAGTACATGTATATTTATTTAACCGGCTTTTGAAGCACATCTAGATACATATTTGTGGTGGTATGCGCGCCTGGTAATTAACGGAAAGTTTTTAATCACGATTTCGCAGCACGCGCCGTTTTTATTTTTATTATTATTTGTCTCCATCTTCGACCGTCATTTGCCCTCGTCTGTGGACGCTGATTGATTTGCCATTTGTATTATTTTTGGTATGACTCAAGGTTTGTTCTGCAGAAAACCACATGAAGAAAAGGAGATAGATAGATAGATATGCAAATAATTGTATTATGTATGTACTTACATATTTGGTAATATTTGCTCGAAGGTCAGCCCCGGTACGTAGCCGGGTCTTTGAATGCATAACTAGTTTGGCAGCTGCCGCTGATGCAGGGGATTGATGCCCATGAAGCAAGGTTTCTCAGCGAGACGTACTACTATACATACATACATACATATGTATGTTTATTTGGCAAGAAGTGGTGAAATCCAAGAGAGCATTGAACTCTCCAACAACGTACTCGAAGTCATGAGTTTAAAAAAGGCTAAATGGGAGGTAGACTTACAAATGCCTTTGTATTTTTGTCCATTCTTAAATCTTCTTCTTGAATAAAAGTTTTTATTAATGCACATATGTACATATGTATAGTATGTAAAAATTTATATTTTTCATATCATATGATTATTATATCCTTCAACATTATGTACAGTTTATTATTATATTGATACGCAAGAACTAATACTTAATATTTATAATAAAATATAGACTCAAAATTGCTTTTAGGCTATTGACCGTCGTTGACCTAATGAGGCAACACATGAAAAACTCACGCAATGTTTCACTTAAATCGCACTCAACAACAATTTCTGGTGACTAAACATAAAAATTGCACAAATAAACAAAGACGAGCCCCCAAAGTGGTACACACATGGGGAGGCACGTACACAGCCTAGCTACAATATATATACATACTTGTACATATATTCGTATACATATGTACAGCAGGTCTCATCACTTGGCAACAGCGGCAGAATTACAGGTGCATTACACAGAAATGTTCAAGTAGCAAAGAGCCAATAAATAACTGAGCGACGCATGCGCGCATATTGGCCAAAATGCTGATGCAATTTAACTTTATTGCGTCAGACATTTTTGTGTACCAATTGCCCGTGCTCGGATTGAAGAGTATTAATATGTTTGTATGAATATATGTACATACTTAGTATGTATGTATGTACATATGTATGTATTTAGCAGCACAAAGCAACGGTATGCACATACACCCCTCCTTGCACGCTTCCGGCCTTTGCCCAAAATAACATTCATAAAGTACATACATATGTGTTTAAATTAAAACAAACTGCAAAAATAAATGTTATTTATCTAATTGCTGCCGAAGTCACAAGTCTCACCAATTGGCAAACGACAAAAGCGTGCAAAAGACAAGCACTGATCGCTGTTCGCTTCCCGGTGCCCCCTCAATGAGTCGCAACACACACCAACACACAAATACATATAACACGCACTCAAAGAGAATGGGGGTCTTATTTTAGCTCTCTCGCTCACTCTCTCTCTCTCTCTCTTTATGCATTGCTTTTAACTCTCATATGTACGTATGTATGTGTGCGCGTACGATCTTGTGCTCTTTGGCCGTTTCAATTAAGCCAAAAATGCTAAATATAGCGTCCACACGAAATTTTACAAAAATAACATATTTTCTCATGTGCAAAAAAGAAAAATTAACTTGAGCATGTGATGCCATGCCTCACAGGCTTTCATTGCCCTTCTGTCCGTAGACCTTAAACTATTTTGTTTTCGTTTTCCTCACGTTGGCTCGGGGCCCAATTTTGCACACAGACTCGAAATACAAACGCCTACATACATACTATACATACACATGTGTATACTATACTGTGTACATACATATAGAGTACTCATGACGAGCATAAGCAGCTGCCGCCACTATGGTGATGGCATCGTCAACGAAATGTGCTTTTTTCTTGCCTTTAGACGAGCCTCCAACAAACACAATCAAACCTCCACACACATAGCGTACATACATACATACACACAAACATATATACATATGCATTCGCAATTTTGATAATCATGCATGACTTGCGCCAACTCTGTTTATACATATTTTAATACTGTAGTATTCGTGCATCATATACACAAACACCTACCTGCCCATATGTACATACATATGTACATATGTACATGTATGTACATATGTATGTACATTGTATCTACTCATTCGTCTGTGCACACCACGCCTGCAGCTAAAGTAGCAAATTTGAAATTAATCAGCAATATTTTAATAGAGGTGGTGAAAATTCCAAATTCTAAGCTGATACATTATATGACCGGCTCTTGCGCGTACTTTAAACTTTGCATTTGCTAAGCAATCGACTAGTCGGCCAACCACCACACTGTCCCCGGCCCCGTTCCTGATTCCCAGACAATTGCGTAAGCATGTCGCGGCACTTTCTGTTTAAAGATATTTTAACCAGTCATTAGTGTTTTGTTTCTATATATGTACATATACACATACATATGTACGTCTATGTTTATTTTTTTGTTTCTAATTGCTTATCAGTGGGGAAAAAACACTAACACGTGCATGGAACATTTCTTTTTGTTCACACACAACACGCATTTATTAAATATGTACATACATACAAACACTTATATATTCGAACTACACAATGTGCTATGGTCTAAAGCAATCACGGCCAAAATTCAGTGAGATTTTGCGAATTCTCTGCCCTTCAGCAAGGTCAGCCAAGTTGCTGGCCAACTACGCGGCATTTCCAAATTTGCAGCTCACTCAATTGAAAACTCTTCATGAATCTGATGCTAAGTACATACATACATACATAGCTAATTGGTCGTATTTGCAAATTTGCACATGTAGACAGATAAATATTTAGAAACATGCTATGTACGTAGACATACGAGGGCAGTCCAAAATGTTTCTGCCCGGGCCATGCAGATGACCTTCTATATTAACCAAACTTTGCTATCTTTTAATGTTTCCGTCAACATTTCAGCCATATCGATATTATAGTTATTATTCAGCAAGCCGATTTTAGTTCTTTTTTAAAATATGAAAAACTTGTATTCTTGTTAATCCCTAACCTCAAAGTTACGCTTGGGGGACAGAGATTATTATCAAATGAGGAGGCCATTACGTTCGTAAATAACAATTTTTATCCTTCGTAAGAACTGATAATACTATTTGGAAGAGTTGAAGACTTAACTTATCCCAAGTTTGTTGACTTAGAAGGAGATTATGTTGTACAATTTCTTTTAGCTGTTGCATCATTGTCAGGCTAGAAACATTTTAAACTGCCCTCGTATGTACATACATACATATGTAGTATGAATTGCGTAGGTGGCCGCTATAAACGTGTTAGTGCTAGCCGTATCTTTTCCCATGAAACGCGACAATTTTTTCCATTTAGATCATTCGCAATTTCGTCATTTATGTTAAAAAAACATAAGAAGGGTAATTCTTTCTGAATAAATTACTAAGAAATGGAGAGTTTATTGCTGGATGTACACACAGACCACATATAAAATATACAAATTCAGAATGTAAATATATTTTAACTCAGCTTAACACTCTACATTACATATGCAAACATGTGTATGTATGTATCTGTGTATAAATCGCAACCACATTGTGAGCTGCCACCGGCATTAGAACTTCTCACACTCTATGCTGAATTTGTCGTTTAGCGCTCACCGGGACATAGCCTCGGTGGCGCAGTAGGCAGCGCGTAAGTCTCATAATCTTAAGGTCGTGAGTTCGAGCCTCACCCGGGGCATGTACACTTTTTGGCTTAAATTTATGTTTTTTTTTCCAAGTATATTTGTAATAAAAGTTACTTGCGCAATTACCAACTAATGGAATGCAATTGAACTATTAAGTTGAATGCCAATAGCGTGTTAGGGGAAGCAAAAAGTGAATAGAATAGCGATTATGAAGGCTT